TAAGACTGGGTTCCCGCTGCCAGATGAAATTTGACATATACATGCTGGGAAAGAAAACTCAGCACACAAACCTCAGCTTCACTCTCTTCTCTTTCATCTAGTCCCCAGAAAAGAAAAAAGATGTTTATCTTTAGTTACTTACCATCAGGGAGTAACTGGTGTCTCTCTTATTCATTCACTAATTCATTCCTTCAATAATCAGAGTTCTGATTAAGTATAAGACACTGTTATGTACTGTGAAGGATATAGGAATATTCTTTCTCTTCTGACTCATAAATCCGGGGGTCAGGAGCTGGGATATGGGAGCCAGGTAAGTGCACAGCTCCTTGGAGGTATCTTAATCCTATAGAGCCCCCACTGAACTGAGAGTTCTTGAGAAGATGGAATTCAGATTTTGTTTTGTTGGTGTGTCAGGGAGAAGTGAATCCACAGGATTTGAAAAATGACCCCCAACTCCATATGTTAACTTCTCAAACCAGAGAAAACCCCTTAGAGACATGGCCAAAACCTCAGACTGTTGTCCAACTGAATCCCTGTCTTGTACTCCACCTACCTCCTGGGGCCAGGTCTCGACCCTCTGCATCAGGATAACGGGTTATCAGAGTGCTTACTGTGTGCCCCACTCTAGACCACCTGTGCTTCTTACATATTCTTATTAAAACAACCCTATAAACTGTTACACTCTATTTTACATCTGGGGAAACAGAGGCTTAAAGTCATGAAGTAACTTGCCCAGGTTCTCAAAGCTAGTGAGTAGTACCAGAATTGGGACCCTGACAGGTTGGGACTCAGGATCCTGGCCATCTGTCCTTGCAGAGGAAAACCCACCAATGTGAGACTGAAGAGCTGCAATCTCGTCTCCTCCTCAAACACTGGGCAAGTCATAACTTGTCTGCATCCCCTCCAGAAAATGAGGTTATTATATCTGCTTGGTCTTCTAATAGGCTTGTTGGGAGTATGGAATGGAAAAGAGAAAAATGGGCGTGTGACCACTTAGCATCATACGATGTTGTTCTGTGTGTTTGAAATAATATTATTCTGCCTCGTGACCTTGAATTTTTTTGACTGTGAAGATGAAGCAATTGAAAAGATCACTTCAATGGATTCTTTCAGCAATGATGATGGTGATGGTGATCTTGAGAAGGCAGTGGTGGTGGTGATGATGGTGATCTTGAGAAGATGGTGGTGGTGATGATGATGGTGATCTTGAGAAGGTGGTGTTGGTGGTGATGATGGTGCTCTTGAGAGGATAGTGATGGTGATGATGACGATGGTGATGGTGGTGATGGTGATCTTGAGGTGATGAGTGATGGTGATGGTGATGGTAGTGATGATGGTATGATCTTGGGGAAGGTGATGGTAGTGGTGATGATGATGGTGGTGATGATGGTATGATCTTGAGAAGGTGATGGTGAGTGATGATGGTGGTGATGATGGTGATCTTGAGAAGGTGGTGGTATTGATGATGACGGTGATGATGGTAGTAGTGATGATGATGGTGATGGTGGTGATGGTGATCTTGAGAAGATGGTGATGGTGATGATGATGATGTGACCATTAGTAGTGATGATGGTATGATCTTGAGAGATGACAGTGATGGTGAGGATTGATGATGGTATGATCTTGAGAAGATGACGGTGATGGTGAGGATGATGATGGTGATGATAGTGATCTTGAGAAAGTGGTGGTGGTGATGATGATAACGGTGATGATGATGTTTGTGGTGGTGGTGATGATGATAATGGTGGTGATGATGTTTGTGATGGTAGTGATGATAATGGTGATGATGTTTGTGGTGGTGGTGATGATGATGGTGACAACGGTGATCTTCAGATGGTGGTGGAGATGATGATGATGGTGATGATGGTGATCTTGAGAAGATGATGGTGATGATGATGATGGTGATGGTGGTGGTGATGGTGATTGTATAATCTTGAGAAGGTGGTGGTGGTAATGATGATGATGGTGATGGTGGTGATCTTCAGATGAGGGTGGTGATGATGATAATGGTGGTGGTGGTGGTGGTGATGATGGTGATGACGGTGATCTTGAGAAGTTGGTGATGGTGACGGTGGTGGTGATTTTAATAGTGATGAGGGTGATGATGGTGATAATGATGATGGTGATGATGATGGTGATGATGATAGCCATAATAATGGTAGTGGTTAAGTTAGAGGAAGGTGACCTCAGAATCATTTTCTGCTACCACTACTGCTGCCAGTCTTCCTCAATTTCCAACCCCACTGTGTCAAAGGCATTTGGGGTGGGCTGGTGTTAAGATGAAAAGGCGAATCTAGAAGGCCAGAGAGAAGGAATAATCTAAGATGTTAGAGAATAATGTACTTATCTCAGTGCCTGGTACATAGTAAGCCAGTACTTACTATCAGGTAATAGAAGCTATGAATTTTTGAAACAGTTTTACTAAGATATAATCATAAACCATACAATTTATCAGTTTAAAGTATAAAATTCAATGGCTTTTAATATATTCACAGTTATACTGCCACCACCACAATCAATTTTAGAACATCCATTATCCCTAAAGAAGCTCTGTCTATGCCTCTTGCTGTCACCCCAACCCCCTCATCCCTCCTAGCAAAGCTATGATTTTTATTGTTATCTACACCTTACAGAATAAGGAAATTGAGACTAAGCAAGGAGAATAACTTGTCCATGGCCACACAGTTAGTATGTGACAGCATTGGGATTCCATCTAGGTTTGCCAGAACCTAAAACCTGTGCTTCTGTCCACACAGGTCAGTTTGACCAATGAGGAAACTCAGATTCAGAGAATATATGTGATCAACACAAGGCCACACAGCTACAGCTATTAAGTGGTCAGAATGAGGCTCACATTTAGTCTTGGCTCCTAATCCACCCATAAGGGTCCTTATTCCATATTACTGTGCCCCTTCAGGGTAAGCAAATCAACATAATCAGAATGGATGAGATCCTTAAGATCCGAGAGAGAGGTGAAACTAGCAGTAGTTTTCTTTCCCATTGAGGAGGAAGAATGGCGCCTGGATCCAGTCTCATCCTGGACTTGGAAAGTTAACATCTCTTTGGACCCAGCTGCTCCCATTTCCTTTTGGCCCTGAACACCCTGAGGAGGCTCTATGCAGGTGGGGAGGAGTTACCCTAGCTGGAAGGAGGAGCAAGGTGGTACCTGAGCTCCTATCCAACCTTTTCTAAAGCATCTGTCTTCCTAGGAGTAATGAGTTTGACAGTACCTACTACCTTCTCAGATGTTAAGGGGAACTATGGGTGGGCATGAGAGAATTATATGACAAAGCCTCTAAAAAGGATGGGATGGAAAAGCAGAGTTGCTTGGCAGCCTGCAAGTCTAGGATCTCCAGGGTGTAATTTTCACTCTGCCCTAGACAACTATAGTCAGAGTGCTTAATCCATCTGGGCCCCAGTGTCCCTATCTGTAAATTCAGAGAGAAAATGGAGAAGTGAATTTGCAAGAATTATGAGCTCCTAGGAGGAAAATGTGCTACAGTTATCTGAAGGGATCTTTATTTTCTTTCCTTCCTTCCCTTCCTTCCTCCCTCCTTCCTCTCCTTCCTTCCTTCCTTCCTTCGGGATGTTTTCAGCTTTATTGAGGTATAATTGACAAAAGGAATTGTATGTATTTCAGGTGCACAAATTGACGTTTTAATACATGCATATATTATTAACTATAGATAGGCCTGATGCTGTAGATCTCCAGAATATATTCATCTTATACAACTGAAAATGTGTACCCTTTGACAAACATCTTCCCATTTCCTCCAACTCCCAGCCCCTGGCAACCATTATTCTACTCTTTGCCTCTATGAGTTTGACTATCTTAGATTCCACATTGAATTGAGGTCACGCAGTGCTTGTCTTTCTGTACCTGGCTTATTTCACTTAGCATAATGTCCCCCAAGTTCACCTGTGTTGTCACAAATTGCAGGATTTCCTTCTTTTTTATGGCCCAGTAGTATTCCCAATAGTATATGAATATATATTCAAATTTGGATATATATGCACATTTGCATGTATATGCACATTGTGAAGATATATACATATATATGAGATATCTACATATATATACACACACACATATATACACATTTTCTTTATCCATTTATCCATTGATGGACATTTTGTTTCCACATTGTGGCTATTGTGAACAGGGATGCAATAAACATGGAAGCGTAGATATCTCTTCAAGATCCTGATTAATTTCCTTTGGCTATATACCCACTAGTGGGATGGCTGGATCGTATATGGTAGTTCCATTTTTAAGTTTTTGAAAAACTACCATTACGTTGTACCAATCTGCATTCCCACCAACTGTACACAAGAGTTCCCTTTTCTCCACGTCCTCACCAACACTTATCTTTCGTTTTCTGATAACAGCTATTCTGAGAGATGTAGAGTGACATAGGGTCTTTATTTTTCAATGTTTGAGGAAGCTAGTGATTTACCTGGCCATGGTTTGAATTTCCATGTGTTCTACTTGGAGCAAAGATCCTCCACTTTCACATCCCTTATTTAATATTTACAATAGAGCAGCAAGAATCTAAATATCAGCTTCATGAAAAAGGAATGGATCATGGTAATAAACACAGCAGAGCCGGGAATCCGAGTATTTAGGAGAATTTATTTCTCACACATTTTCCCTCCACTCTCTCTGAGGTGTCCCATGGCAACGAGCATCAGGTGAGCCTCATTCTTCCATCTTCTGTGGGAGAAAAAACAATTGTACATAGGAAATGAGTCAACTAAACGGGAGACTGAACATCACCTTGAAGTGGAGCAGCTGGAAAATCTGGAACTTCAGAGAAACATTAAGGAATGGCATTGTTTCCCTTTGCACATTGCAAAAACAAACCAATCTAGCTACTAGCGACAGGACAAATGCCCTACAAATCAGGGGCTTCATGGGCAGCATCTATAGCAACAGGGAGAGACAGGGATGACAGTGTCCTGCCTCACGGCTCATTCTCCCGAGAGCCTGGAACCACAGGAGTCTTTGCTAAAACAGTAGCATTTGGGAGTGCGTGACTAGCAGCAGGAAGGAGAGGATCAACAGTCATCCTCCAGGTTCTCCCTGGGTGGTCCATGGGACTCCCCCGGGGCTTGGAACTTCTTGGGAAGAAGCCATACTCAGGTACTTACTCCTACCTGGCCCCCTACATCTCAGATACCTGCTCTTACCTGGTCCCCACATCTCAGGTACCTGCCTTTATCTAGCCTCCCACACTCAGGCTTTCGCCTGGCCCCCATATTCAGTATCTGTTCTTAGCTGGCCCCTACATCTCAGGTACCTGCTCTTACCTGGCCGCCCACATCTCGGCTTTTGGCCCTCAGCTTGTTGACCTGGGACTCGGCGATGTCCGCCCTCTCCGCAGCCTCCTCTAGCTCATGTTGGACTCTCCGGCATCTGGACAGCTGCGTGTTGGCCTGCTCCTCCTACACAGGAGATAGGGGTTATGAAGCTATAGAGCCCCTCAGTATGATTATGAGGTGCCCTGTCCCTGAAGGCCTCTGAGGAGTTAAGCAACCAGGGCTTTGGATTCCCCCATGGCAAAGAGGGCAGGTAGGCTTTCTCCAGAGTGTGAGGACAAGGCTCCCAGCCCACAACCATGTGTACTGCCTCGAATCACCTTGCAGGTGCTACTGTCCCTCCTAGGACCTCCAAAAATGTTCCCTTGCACCTCTTCTATATGGTATCTGTTCCACAGAGATCTTTGGGGGAGACCTAAGTCCAGTGCTCTCCCAAGGCATCTGAAGGTATAGAGACCAATGGCCCAAGTCTCCCTCATCCTGTGCCTCTGCCCAGCGTCATCTGTCTAGGGCCAGGCCACTGTACTGGTCTATTTGGGGGAATGTCAAGGATTCCTGATTAAGGTATCCTCCTGGGCACCCTCTAGCCTGCCAAACCTGCTGGGACTGTACTCATCCCATGTGCACGAATTGCTCTCAATATTGAGCCAGTTCAGATCTGCTTCCCTGAGGTTAGGATTGAACCAACCAGGCTCCAGGGAAGGGAGGAAAAAGAGCAATGGGAGAAACTCAGCCATTTGTCCAGGGCAGGCTCCCCTAAATTTTGGTCATTAGAACAGTAGCCCTTCTGCATACAATAAGAAGGTTCCAAAGTCAATGAAGTGTGAGAAATGGTATATTCTGGAACCCCGCTTCCACTTTGTAGAGTTGATGACATATGAAACTCTACAATGTCTACACAATCTGAGAAACCCTTGAAGTAAAGCAACCATTGTAACTTTGTTTAACTGAGATTTTCCCAAACTATTTCTTTTCTGTAAAATAATAAGCTCCTCCTCATGGCAGCCCAACTTCCTGCTATTAACATCCCTCAGAACCAGTGTCCTCAGAAGACACTTTGGGAAACATGGATTTCAGCCCATTCCATTTATTTCCTGTTGATTTCACCTATTTGATCAAAGGGCGGATCACAAAGGATGGAATGGAGTGGAGGGAGTTGGGAGGGCTGAGGAAGGCTGGAGATGCCTAGGAGGGTGGGCTGTGGTGGGATGGTGGGAATTAGGATGAGGTGCCTCAAGTCAGGTCATGGGAGCAGGAAGGGCTGGGAGGGTAGACTGGGGTGGTTTGAGAGAGTCAGGGTGATCCAGTGCCAGCCAGGGTAGGCTAACATGCTCTGGGGTGGGTCAAGTAAGTCACGGTGGGCAGGATGAAGGGGATGAAGGGGGTTGGCCAAGTAGGGTGAGGCAAGAGGACACAGAGGTGGTGAAGGTGGGGAAGACTTAACATGGACCAAGAGAGGAAGAGGACAGGTGTCTCTGTGTTTATAGCCTGCAAATGCAAACTCAGGCCTGAGACTCAGAGGACTTTACCAACCAGGAACCTGCTCCCACTCGGGGATGGCGGGGACACCCAGGCTGCCCCAGGGACTGTCTGTCTGTGGGCACTCCCGGGGACCTCCTGTGCTCACCGCCTCCTCAGCCTGCCTCTTGTAAGACTTCACTTTGGCCTGCAGCTTGTCCACCAGGTCCTGGAGCCTGAGGATATTCTTGCGGTCCTCCTCAGCCTGCAAACAGGGTACACGTGGCAGGGGCCTACAAACCTATGGCCACTTCTGATGGGGCTTGGTCCATACAGCATTCGCTGAGGAGGTTTTTGGGACCTCTACCTGGTAAGTCATCTCCTTCACTTTGCGTTCGTACTTGTGGGCTCCCTTCAGGGCTTCAGCTCCCCTCTTCTGTTCCACATCAAGCTCATTTTCCAGCTCCCGCACCTGGGTAGGATGAAAAGAACACAGAATTCAAGTCTCCTCTCCCAGGCTTCTCTCATGGACTCATGGGCCAATCATTCTAGCGTGAACTCAAGATCCCCTAGTGGTCGTTAAAAAGTCAGGAAAACAACAGATGCTGGTGAGGATGTGGAGAAATAGGAACACTTTTACACTGTTGGTGGGAGTGTAAATTAGTCCAACCATTGTGGATGACAGTGTGGTGATTCCTCAAGGATGTAGAACTAGAAATACCATTTGACCCAGCAATCCCATTATTGGATACATTCCCAAAGGATTATAAATCGTTCTATAAAGACACATGAACACATGTGTTTACTGCAGCACTATTCACAATAGCAAAGTCTTGAAACCAACCCAAATGCCCATCAATGATAGACTGGATAAAGAAAATATGGCACATATACATCATGGAATACTATGCAGCCATAAAAAAGGACGAGTTCATGTCCTTTGCAGGGATATGGATGAAGCTGGAAACCATCATTCTCAGCAAACTAACACAGGAACAGGAAACCAAACACCGCATGTTCTCACTCATAAGTGGGAGTTGAACAATGAGAACACATGGACACAGTAAGGGGAACATCACACACCGGGACCTGTCGGGGGGTGGGGGGCTAGGGGAGGGATAGCGTTAGAAGTAATACCTAATGTAAATGGTGGGTTGATGGATGCAGTAAACCCACATAGCACGTCTATACCTAGGTAAATCCCAGAAATTAAAGTTAAAAAAAAAAGATCCCCTAATGGGATTTTTGCCAAGATGTCTCCTCCTAAAGGGCTCAGGAGCCATATTTTACTGACAAGGTCATCACAAGTCCATGCAGGTGCTTTGAGCAAGTGAGAAGAAGATGCCCTCATTGGGCAGAGGCAGCCTCAGGTGCACAGAGCATAGCTGGTGGGTCAGGCTTTGCACAGATGCACCCTTTTGTGGAGGCAGGTAGTTTGGCAAAGGCAGCAAAAGCTAACCTGACCTGTCCTTGCAGGTGAAACCTACCCAGCTGTTCACGGTTGCCCTGATTACAGATCAAGTAAGAGAGCAGGGATCACGAAGAGAACCTGGGCTAGGAGTAATCAAAGCATTCTCCAGGCCCACTTGATAGATCCAAAGCAAGTCAGTTGCCACCACTGAGCATGAGTTTCTGTATATTTGGGATGGAGATAATATTTCCTGCCTAGCCTACCTCAAATGTGGAGATTGAATTAAAGTATGTGAAAGTATGGTTAGAATGACAAAGCACTACACAGGTGGTGTTAATTTCATAGTTGCTTCTGCCTTTCTCAGAGTCTTGAGGGGAAAGGGTAGCCACTGAGGACGCAAGTCTCCAACTGTGGTCCCAACTCCACAATCCAGAGATTGAAGCCGAGGAGGGGCATCAGCTAGCTGCATTCTCCACTCCACCGGGAATCACAGTGGCTGCACAGCAGGGACGATTCCGGCTTGGAGACTCACTAGATCAATCTTGAAAACTATCAATGGGACAGACTTATTCTGGGCACTGTTCCCCAAACCTCCCCACCCTCCACCTCCTGGACCCAGGAAAGTCTTCCATCAGGTTCTACAAAACATGTGTTTTCCTAGGAATTCTTTCTAGGCTTCTGTGAGGTTTATGGAAGTCACATAACTGGGCAGCGGATGGGAGGACAGTCAAGGCACCTCACCATGGGAGGGGGAGGGTGGCCAAGGGCTCCCTGTCACTCCAGGAATCATAGTGTGGCAGAAGGTGTCATGAGACCTAATCCTTTTCACATAGGAGGGATCCATGAGAAGAACAGGCCTAAACTCATTGTGATGGAATAGGACTGGGGACCACTGAAAATAAACATTCAAGAACTTGGGGGGAAGTTCTAACTTCCCTGGTGTTTACTTTTGTTATTCAAAAAGTCTACGGCCTTGTTTTTAGCACCCCCCCCAAAAAAAAATCCTTTCACATTTAATGGGACCATGTGCCTGGGGAGGAAATCCTCCGTGGTTTGCAGGTTTGCATAAAGAATGACAGTATTTGGGGGCCTTCCTGCTGGGAAAAGTTGTCTCCTTTTCTTTCCCTCCTCCTCCTCCTTTCCTCCCACTCTTTCATTTCCTGTCTCCCTGGGACAAGAGACACTCGAACAGCCTCCTCCGCAGAGCCCTCCTCCAAAATGTCAACCGCTAGTACAGCCCATTTTAAAATGATTGAAATAAACCACATGGGTCTAAAAGGAAAAGCAAGGGGGACAGGAAACAAAGGGAACAGTCAGCAAAGAAACGGAACAATAACTGCAGGATACGCTCCCAGATAAAGAAAGAGCAGGATGTCCTGGTGTCGGGGGTTGAACTTTTCTGGTGCCTCAACCTAAAGGAAGAAGCCCCGATCGCCCTCTTTTGGGGCTGGAGCAAGAGACATACCTGTGCCAGAACTGCAGCCTGCACTGAGAGATGAGAGAAGCTGGGGAGGGAAGGAAACCTGAGATTGGGAGAAAACGGAAACTGCAGATTTTATGTAGGATGGGCCGTGTTTATCAAAGTGAAACTTGGTCCAAAATGTAAATGCATCAAAATGTGTAATTTTATGACCGTAAAGTACATGTTCATAGCTTTTTCCATGTATGTGTGTGCATCTGAATCTACACAGCAAATGGAATGTGAACATTAACACACATCATGATATTACATTTGCTGAGGTGTGAGCATACCAAAATAGATGTGTGTGTGTGTGTGTGTGTGTGTGTGTGTGTGTGTGTGTTGGGGCACAGGAACAGATGAAACAGAAAGAGATGAGAAATGAGGCTCACAAGGAATTTTGCAAGCAGTCCTGGAACTGAATTTGCAGTCTATTCAATCAATGGCCTTTTCCCACCATCTCAGTTTCTGGACTCTGGTTCTGTCTGAGGCTGTCACTTTCAGAGTAAGAATCCTCTCAAAAACTCTACCCGGTTCTCCAGTTTCTGGATCTGCTTCTTCCCGCCCTTCAGTGCCAGCTGCTCAGCCTCATCTAGACGGTGCTGCAGGTCCTTCACCGTCTGCTCCAGGTTCTTCTTCATCCGCTCCAGGTGGGCGCTGGTGTCCTGCTCCTTCTTTAGCTCCTCAGCCATCATGGCGGCCTGGTTAAGTTCACAGGACACATCAGAGGCCCCGTCCGCCCATCCCTACCTGGAGCTTGCAGAAGAGGAGAATGTTGGGATCATGGTGCTGAGCCTCCCGTGTCTGACTCCAGCCAGTCTTTGCTGATTCCTCAGCCTCCCCTCCCACTTTGCCGCTGCTGAGACTGTACCTCATTCCATCTGTCTGGGAAGCCACCACTAACCGACTGTGGTCATAAGAGATGAAACATACTTGCCACACCCTGGCTCAGAGGCCCCCCTTTCTCAGTTCCAAACCCCGTCTCTGAAAAGGAAGAACAGAGCTCACATCCGTGATGGCCTTCTTGGCCTTCTCCTCTGCGTTCCTGGACTCCTGGATTGAGTTCTCCACCTCTGCCTGGCACTGAGCTATGTCAGCCTCCAGTTTTTTCTTGGTATTTATCAGGCTCGTGTTCTACAAGAAGAATTAGATATCAGGGGTGTGGGTTCTATCTGGGCACTTAAAAAAATTGGAAGGGGGAGGGTTGGGCGGGGAAGGAAGTAAATCGTGATCCTGTTCCATTTCTTATTTTTCACATGGGTGACCTGCTGGGTACAGTACTGTACATTATTCTTTCTTTCTTTCCTCTTTTTTTTTTTTTTTTTTTTGACACAGAGTCTCGTTCTGCCACCCAGGCTGGAGTGCGGTGGCCGGATCTCGGCTCACTACAAGCTCCGCCTCCAGGGTTCACGCCGTTCTCCTGCCTCAGCCTCCCCAGTAGCTGGGACTACAGGCATCCGCCACCACGCCCAGCTAATTTTTTGTGTTTTTAGTAGAGACAGGGTTTCACCGTGTTGGCCAGGATGGTCTCAATCTCCTGACCTTATGATCCGCCCACCTTGGCCTCCCAAGTACTGAGATCTTTCTTTATTCTTAACTGAACAGAAAGTCCTGCTTCTGTTCAGTTAACAGACCCAAGAATCGTACATCAAAGAATTGAGTAAATGATAAAAGTAGAATTTCAAATATTTGAGGATGGATAGATTATTCAGTAAAAGGTGTTGGAGCAAGGAAATGATTGATAGACATACTATATAAAATGAAAAATAATTCAAATAATCAAGTTATGCCATAAATAGAATTGTAAGGGTGATGACAAACTGAAAAACATTTGCAATGTATATTACAGAAGAAAATATTCCCTTTCTTAACATATAAATAAGGCAAATCAATTAACAAAAAGGGCAAAAAGTACAAATGGGTAAAACATACTAGAAGAAGTACAAACGGTCAAGAAAAGTGATAAAATGTTCCACCTCATTAGCAATAAAAACATACTAAAAACTCAGTGAGGTATGCTTTGGCAATAAAATTGGTGAAGATTTTTTAAATAAGAGCTAGAATATTCGAGAATTTATAGAAGAGAACTCTCACACGTTTTCCCAGAGAAAATAAAAATTGGGACAGCCTTATTAAAGAACAATTTATAATATATTACAAATATCTTTGCTGTTTGGAACCTGAAATTTCATTTTTAGAAATTTATTTACTTCTAGACATATTAAGTGATAGTAATCATGGAAGTATATGAAAATTTGGTTATGAGGAAGTTCATCAAAACAGCCTTTCTAAAAGTAAAATTTTTACTGAGAACAATCTAAAATAACCACAGAAGACTGATTAAATGAAAGTGCAATAATATACAGGTAGAATAGCCTACTTTTCTGTCATTAAAAATCATATTACAGAACACTATTTAAAGATGTCGAGGCTGGGCACAGTGGCTCACACCTGTAATCCCAGCACTTTGGGAGGCTGAGGCTGGCGGATCACCTGAAGTCAGGAGATCGAGACAATCCTGGCCAACATGGTGAAACCCCGTATCTACACAAATACAAAAATTAGTTGGGTGTGCTGACGTGCACCTGTAATCCTCAGGAGGCTGAGGCAGGAGAATCGCTTTAACCCAGGAGGTGGAGATTGCAGTGAACCGAGATCTCACCACTGCATTCCAGCCTGGTGACAGAACGAGACTGTCTCAAAAAAAAAAAAAAAAAAAAAAAACCTCAAAATATGTTCATGATTGTTAAATGAAAAAAAGAGATTGCTAAAGATTGCTCATATTTTTACTATATGTATATGCATTTATTTTTAATTAAAACTTTTTTTTTTTTTTTGGTAGAGACACGGTTTTGCCATGTTGCCCACGCTGGTCTCAAACTCCTGAGATCAAACAATCCCAAAGTCCTGGGATTAGAGGCAAAAACATAATATTTATATAATTCACAAGGGGCCTAAGAATGAGAGACCCCAGAATGTTAATAATATACTTGACTTTTTTCTTCCATATATTTGCTTGTTTTTTCTATTTTTTTAAACAAAGGAGTTTTAAAAACGTTTATAAAAATAATTATTTTGTGTTTTTTGTGTGTGTGTGTGTGTGTTGTTGTTGTTGTTGTTGTTGTTTGTTTCGGCAGGGTCTCCCTCTGTTGCCCAGGCTGGATGGAGTGCAGTGGTGAGATCATATTTCATTGCAGCCTTAACTCCTGGGCTAAAGCGAACCTCCCACCTTGGCCTCCCAATGTGCTGGGATTATAGGTGTGGCACTGAGCCGGGTCAAAAATAATTATTTTGAAATAAAATCTTAATATTCTAAGGTTTCCTCTTAAATAGTACTTCCAGGCGCCTTACACAATAATTAATCCTTCTTGCTCTGATTTCCCTACAACGTGCAAGATGTTTAATGTTTGGATCAGAAAAGGCTCAGAAATCTGTCAATCAAGAGTCAGTTATTTCAAGAAGCAAGCTTAAAGAAAATTGTTCTTGACCACTAGTCTGGGAGAAACCGGGTGCTCCTTCCCACGGCGTGGGCCCTGAGCCGAGGGATGGCGGAAGCAGCTAGGGGTGCAGGAGGCGCTACCTGCCCCAGGGTGGCTTTTCAGCACAGGAGTGAGGGCTGACGCACCTGGGAGTGCAGGAGCTGCACGCGGTCGCTGGCGTCCAGCAGCTCCTGCTCCGACAGCCTGCGGGTCCGCTCCGTTTGCTCCAGGGCCACCTTCATTTCCTCCAGCTCCTCCAGCAGGAGGCCATTCCTGCGCTCCACGATGGCCAGCTGCTCCTTGAGGTCCTCATTGCTCCTCAGGGCGTCGTCCAGGTGCAGCTGGGAGTCCTGCAGGGGAGACCCGGGGTGAGGCCAGAGCTGCCCGGCAGGCTGCAGCCCGTCCAGGTACGCAGAGGCGGCCACCGTGCTCACCTTGAGCTGGCCCTGGACCGTGCGCAGGTGCTTCTGGGTCTCTGCCACCTGGCGGTTGGAGTGGCCCAGCTGAATCTCCATCTCATTGAGATCTCCCTCCATCTTCTTCTTCACTCTCAGGGCGTCGTTCCGGCTGCGGATTTCAGCATCCAGCAAGCTCTGCATGGCCTCCGTTGCCCGCTGGCTGTTTCTTTTTAGCTGCTCGATTTCTTCATCCTTCTCAATGACCTTGCGGTCTAGCTCGGATTTCACCTGGCTTAGCTCTAGCTGGAGGCGCAAGATCTTGCTCTCCTCGTGTTCCAAGGAACCCTGACGAAAGCAAAGGAGTGACTGGGGGTGCTGTGGACAGCCACCTTCATGAATGGGTATTTTCATCCCCATACAATCAAATGGGTATTCTTTTTTTAAAAAAAATTAAATTGAAAAAATTTTTTTTTGGTAGAGACAGAGTCTGGCTATGTTGCCAGGCTGGTCCTGAACTCCTGGGCTCAAGTGATCCTCCCTCCTTGGCCTCCTAAAGTGTTGGGATTACAGGTGGTGTGAGCCATGGTGCCCAGCCCAAATATGTTTTTTTTGTTTATTTGTTTGTTTCTTTGACAGAGTCTCTGTTGCCCAGGCTGGAGTGCAGTGGCGCAACCTCGGCTTACTGCAACCTCCACCCCCTGGGTTCAAGTGATTCTCCTGCCTCAGCCTCCGGAGTAGTTGGGATTACAGGTGCCCGCCACTGTGCCTGGCTAATTTTTGTATTTTTAAAGACAGGATTTCACCATGTTGCCTAGGCTGGTCTCGAACTCCTGACCTTCCAGGTGATCAGCCTGCCTTGTCCTCCCAAAGTACTAGGATTACAGTTGTGAGCCACCATGCCCGGCTGCAAGTAGGTATTCTTATACCGATTTTATAGATGAAGAGAACAATACTCAGAGAGGTCCGAGTATTTGACTTGCTCCCAAATATCCCTAATAGTGATGAAACTGGGACTAAAACTTTGCATCCCTCGTGAACAAATTTCTTATGACTTGAGATAGAGTATCCTTCTTAATTAGTGAAAAGTTTACTGAGGGTATCTATTTTAATAACGACCATAAATCGGGAGTCAACCTATTCTCCAAAATGACGGGGCAATTGCTCTCCTGTTATCCTGTGTTGGTTCGTATTTCCCTAGAAACCACCAGTCATCCTGGCCACCGCCGATTACTGCATCAGGAGACTCTGGGTGTGTTTTGATTGTACAGGATTCTTGATAGCCAAAGATGATTGTCTGTGCCTCTGTGTTAAACATAACTGAGAGATGCTGCACTGCTCTCAGGATGTTAGGTGATTGATTTTCTGCTTCCTGAGAGGAAGACATTGAAGATATAATGAACACATTAATTTATTTTCAAAAGAGGAACTGTGCCAGAGGACACCCAGGAGATAAAGTAGCAGCCCGTGGATGTTTCAGCCCCTGGGATGGCTGAACGTTTCTCCCACTGGAAACTGAGGGCCTCCTGGCAGGAAGGGCCCCATGGGGTGGTGACGGGCAGCCTCTTTCAGTTCCTGGTCCTCCTGAATTTCCGAATATCATATCCCAGACACTTACCTCCACTTCTTCTAAGGCGACCTGCAGATCTGACTTTTCCTGCTCCACTAGCTTCTTGGTCTTTTCCACTTCCTGAAGATTCTTTCCAGTTTCTGCAATCTGCTCAGTTAAGTCGGAAATCTCTTCTGCAAAGGACAGGCTCAATTTAGGCTGTTTCAACAGGCTCCAGTTTATAGCATAGGCATTTGCCAGGCAATTCAGGGATGGGCGATTCATTCGTGACGTTTATATAGGAGAGAATACAGGGTAGCTGTTCGGATGAGGTGTTGGCAAGACAGGGATGTGTTACCTCACCTGCATTAGGCAGACAGGAACCACAAGTGAAGAATAGAAACTTAAAACTTCAAAAGTACTGTATACAAAATGGTCATAGAGCAGACCAGAGAAAACAATTGTGGGGAAAAGGCATAGAATCATAGTCTGCAGAACCAGAAGGGGCTTTGGAAAGTGCTGGGTGTGGTCTTCTGACTTTGTAGATTGGAAGTCTGAGGTCCTAAGGGATTCAGTGGCATACCCAAGAATACAGAGCCACTTAGAGACAGAATCACTGAAGGGTCTTCTCTAACAGAGCAGGGGGCTCAGCAACCCATTGTGCCTTCGGTTCTGGAAAATGAGACTTAGCTCCTGCTGTGCCTTACATTAAAAAGGTTTGGACCTTGGGGCAAACTGAGTAATATGAAGCATGATGGGTGAGGATTGTGTGGGGCAATGGGAAGAAGGTGTCTGGAGATGGCTGTGGCCAAATGGGGAAGGGGTTGGCAGGAGGAGACGGGGACATAGCACACACCGGTGGTGGAGAGAGCTCACCTTGTAGATTTTTGTTCTCCCGCCTCAGTGTCTCTAACTGGTCCACCACCTCCTCATAGGCGTTCCTCATCTTGAAGAGTTCGGTGCTGAGTGACCTGGACTCCTTCTGAGCAGCTTCCAACTCAGCCTGGCTTTCGTCCAGCTTTTGTTTCCACTCTGCAAGGACCTGGGAGATGACAAAGGGACATAGGAGAAGCAAAAAGCAGGGGTGACTCAGAAGAGTTCATGCAAACAAGTGCTATCAGTAACGCCAACGTTTTGCTCTTCCATCCTTAGGGACGGAAGAAAGAGGAGGAGCACTGTTCTAGATCCGGGCCCCCAAACTGTGATATTCCTGCAGGCCCTCTGCTGCGTTCTCACAGACATTGCGATCTCAATGGGACTGAATTAGCTTTCACTGAAAACAAAATTGCCTTTGGAGGGACTGTCACAGTAGTCAAGAGACACCTCAAGTCCCCCAAACTGGGAAATGATGCTCCAACTGGGGGCCTTGTAGGATGTGCAGGTATCTCACACATCTAAGTGTGAAACTGTTGTTTTCACCACTGCCACTGTAAAGCATTTGACCCTTTTCCAAATTCAGGTATATTCATGTAAATAGCATTTCCCCAACTTGAATCATCCCCATGGCTTCTTCACAGAGAAAGTGGCTGGGGAAGGACCTTGTCAAAGTTCCTCTGCTTCTTGTCCAGGGTGGCACAGGCGGTGTGGGAGCGCTCCAGATCCAGCATCAGATCATCCACCTCTCCCTGCAGCCTCTGCTTGGTTTTCTCCAAGGATGCGCACTTCGAGTTCGCCGTCTCTGTGTTCTCCTCTGCTTCCTGGAGCCTCTGGGCCAGTTTTTTCCTATGAAAACCAGATTTTTTTTCCCCCCTTGGCAAAAGTGGAATATCTCAGAAGGTAACTGTCAGATGGGAAGAGAAATACAAAAAACAGATTTTTTCCCCCCTTGGCAAAGGTGGAATATTTCAGAAGGTAACTGTCAGATGGGAAGAGAAATGAATAGCATGGAGGGGATTGATGTTTGATGACACCAAGACCTAGGATTTGGTGAGTGGAGAGGATCCAGGTGTCACCGGGAGAGTCTCAAAATGTTTGGTGGCAAAGCAGGTCCCTAAGGAGCCCCCCAGGGAGCTAGGGGGAATGGACAGTTCCCGAGAAGAAGGACAGGGAGACCCCCAGAGGATGAGGGGCACAATCTGAATGTTTCAGAAACCACAAAGGCATGGGCAGGAAAGAGACAATCTCTCAAGATACGAAGACTCCTGGTCCCTTGGCCTGTGCCCTCAGGCTCCCCCTGCTATTGCCACCCTGGAGTCCCTACTTGGCCTCCTCCAGCTCCTCTGTGCGCTGGATGGCGTCCGTCTCGTATTTGGTCCTCCACTGAGCAACCTCACTGTTGGCCTTGGACAGCGCCCTCTGCAGCTCGGCCTTGGCTTCCTGCTCCTCCTCATACTGTTCCCGCAGCAGGTCGCAGTCGTGGCGGGAGGACTGCAGGGCGTGTGCCAGGGCGTTCTTGGCCTGGGAATGACAGTGGTGACAAATTGCAAAAACATTTGACCCTTTTCCAAGTTCAGGTATTTTCATTTAAATAGCTTTTCCCCAGCTTGAGTTATCCCTATGCTGTTTTCACCAAATTTGCCATATCAGCATATCGCCTGGTTTATTTAATTTTTTCAAGTGGGCTCCTTAATTATATTTAAATATATTTAACAAAAGAGTGAACTGTTACAGGACAGTAAGTGGAAAACCACTGACATTTGCCATAAACAGAAGGTAACCATAAGTGCAATGGAAATAAAGCAATGTTACCACATCTAGCTAGGTACTGTTGCCTGCTGGGACTCCATGCCTGGGCTCTACCCTCTATTTCTTAATAGGGTAAATAAGCAAACACTAAGGAAGTATGGTTCACGCTGAGGCCTTTTCCTTGATATAATCAGAAGGTTTGGAACAATTAAAAAGGGAAGAATTTTCTCGCTACTTGATGCAATGGTACGGAATGCTGTGACCAGGAGAAGCCTGAAAGCATCTTTTGATGTCACCAGTGGGCTGTGTCCCCACACTGGGGACTGCTGATGTGAGCTTTGCTGTTTCCACGGCCTGACTTCCTCCTCCTAGGCAGAGAAGACATGCCTAGAGGCATTCGTCCCTCACTCCTTCCCATGTGGAGGGAGGGCAACAGTTTAGCCCCGACTGTAATGGCCACAAGACGCCCTCTGGCGCCACCATCAAAGAGAGAGTTCTGTCAGCCCACTTTAGTAATTTGTACATTTTCATCTTTTTAAATACACAATAGGCCAGACGTGGTGGCTCATGCCTGTAATCCCAGCACTTTGGAAGGCCGAGACGGGCGGATCACCTGAGGTCGGGAGTTTGAGATCAGCCTGACCAACATGGAGAAACCCTGTCACTACCAAAAACACAAAATTAGCCGGGCGTGGTGGCCCATGCCTGTAATCCCAGCTACTTGGGAGGCTGAGGCAGGAGAATCGCTTGAACTCAGGAGGCAGAGGTTGCAGTGAACCAAGATCGCGCCATTGCACTCCAGCCTGGGCAACAACATTGAAACTCCGTCTCAAAAAAAAAAAAAGGCAATAAATGGGAAACTTTGCCTAAGAAGGAAAACAGCTGTTGCTGTGTCCTGGCCAAAGGACAGCCCGCTCCTCCTGCAGTGGCCCTCCTCAGTACTTGTTCAGGCTTGGGTTCTCACCACTTCCCGCTGCCCCCTCATCTACTGAAGATCTTCACCATAGAACAGAAAGATGGGAGACAAATATGACGCTTGTCCTTTTTCAGAAGAAAAAGGTGGAGCTTGGGAAAATTCCAGAAGATTCCCCTATAAGTCTTAGCCAGTGTACAGCAACCTTGGAGTTCCATTCATGCAGTTTTGTGGACTCTTGGTTCCCTATTCTGATACTTGAACACGAATTGGCAGCACCAAGCACCTACTGTGTGCACTGTTCTTCTGGGCAAAGTAGGTACAGTGAGGACAAACTATTCTTGCCCTCCATGAGTTTACAGATCTGTGGGGAGACACATATTATAAACATAGTATCTAGATCTTGAAATCAAGAAGGCGATGATGTTCATGTTTATGCAACTGTCTCCAGGGTGCTCCCAAAACTAGGGAGTCTTTTTGGAGGAGGGTAGCTTAAAATCAGGTGGTATAGGAGGTGACACACCAGGAATAATGAAGAAAGAGGAAGGGATTTCAAGTGGCCGGAATGAATTGCTGGGCAGAATGGTCAAGTGTGTACAGTGATTGGGAGGAGGTGCCCTGGCTGGAGAGGGGAGTTTCTCAGAGTACCCTGTGGGGGACAGAGGTCATGGACCACCATGGGTATGGTTTTCTATCCCTGAAGAAGGAAATCTAATGCCAAGGTCCTCTAACTTTAAAGGACAGGTTCGCACCATGCTGCAAGGCAGACAGGAGAAGCAACAGGTTTCTTCTTTTCTTTCTTTCTTTTTTTTTTTTTTTTAGCGGAGTCTTGCTCTGTCTTCCAGACTGGAGTGTAGTGGCGTGATCTCGGCTCACTGCACCCTCCGCCTCCCGGGTTCAAGGAATTCTCTGCCTCAGCCTCCTGAGTAGCTGGGATTACAGGCACCTGCCACTACGCCCAGCTAATTTTTTTTTGTATTTTTAGTAGAGATGGGGTTTCACCCTCTTGGCCAGGCTGGCCTTGAACTCCTGACCTCGTGATCCACCCGCCTCAGCCTCCCAAAGTGCTGGGATTACAGGCGTGAGCCACCGTGCCCGGCCGCAGCAGGTTTCTTGATGTAGCACTGCTCCGACCAGCTTCACAGGTGAAGTGGTCATACAGCCGGGTTTCTCAGGTTCAGTCTGACTCTGTATCTTTACCTTTGTTTCTTCTTCCATTTGCCTCTTAAGCTCCTCCAGCTGCTGGGTGAGGGCCTGCTTGCTTTTGGTCAGCTGTGAAATCAGAGATTCCTTCTCTTCCACTTGGTGGCTCAGCTCCCCTACCAAACAGATGTGGCCCCCGTCAGTGTTACCGACCACCCTCTCCCATGGCCCAGCTGGACCTCAGAGCCCTGCCCATTCTCACCATTCTGGGTCTGTAGTCTTGCTTTCTGCATGTTCAGGTCATGGATCAGCTGTGTCTGTTGCTCATCCTTGGCTTTGATTTCACTAAATTGGTCTTCTACCGTCCGGCACGTTCTTTCTATGTTACTCTTTAACAAACAGAAAGTCACCATGAATGGGAAAAAAATGGATTCCTAGTGCCCAGCATTGAACTGAACAGTGTGATCGTTTAGCTTCTTGTCAGGTAAAATGAAACTACAAATACAGAACAAAAAAAGAGTCAGTTTAAAATCATAATTGACTGGGCGCAGTGACTCACGCCTATATCCCAGCACTTTAGGAGACCGAGGTGGGTGGATCCCTGAGGTCAGGAGTTTAACACCAGCCTGACCGGCATGGTGAAATCCTATCTGTACTAAAAATACAAAAATTAGCCGGGCATAGTGGCAGGCACCTGTAATCCCAGCTACTCGGGAGACTGAGGCAGGAGAATCGCTTGAACCCAGGAGGCGGAGGTTACAGTGAGCAGAGATCATGCCATTGCACTCCAGCCTGGGCAGCAAGAGTGAAACTCCGTCTCAAAAAAAAAAAAAAAAAAAAATCATAATCATTTCAGATTTGTGAATGCAGCTCAATCACCAATCGCTTGAAACATAAGTTTTTGGTAGGTAAGTATTTAATGATTTGTAAACAACTCTTTGAGAAGATGCCACTTTTAAGTGGATCCTTGGGATCCTCTTGTAATATAAGTAATTTGTGAATAATTGCAAGCAATACAAGCCTGTGAATATTTGCAAGCAATATATTCAGATGACAGTGTTAAGCATTTCATTCAATATCACAAAAGGTTCCCGATGGTGGAGGTGGTATGAAGGGATTCACCTCCCCAGCCTCCAGTTGGCCTGTATTTTTGTGAACTTTATTCAAAACCCTTATGTGTGTTGACCTTTCTCTCCTCCTGCTGCTCCATAAAATAGAAAATAAAATGTATGGAGCATATGTTTTTCCTTAGAATGCGAAGTATGAGCTGGCAGTGGAGGAAGCAGGGATACTGATTCCAGGGGAGTCCTGGAGGAACTTAGGATCTCTTTGAGAAGATGACACACAAACATGAAGGAATCAAAGCAGGGAGGGTTGAAAAGCGATGGCGACTTGCAAGAAGAAACATGAAGTGCTGCTTCCCCTGGATGTTAAAATTGAGAACAGAGAGCAGCACACGGCAGTTCTGGAGAGAGGGAGGCTGGAGTGGGGGCTGTTTATAGGCACAGTGCGTGGGGGATGCTGGAGGCTCTTCCTACCCACCTTCCCCTGCAGGCTGGCCTGGCTCGCGGAGAGAGAGGTGTGGGAGGGGAACATGTACAGACCCAAGTTCTTAGAGGAAGAAAGAAAACCAAGAAAGGGAAAAAGGGCAAACAAATGGGAAAGCAGGAAAGAAGGAGAAAAGGAGTCATCACTCGGAGCCAGAGGCTGCAGTCAGGGAGTGAAGAAGCAATCAAGGGAAAACAAGACAGTGTGGACGCAGACCCTAAACACTGGCAGCAGGGGGCGCTAGACAGACCACTCTAGTTCTCGGATCCACATCTCCCTTCCTTTTCTGGACAGATGCCCTGACCTTCCGGGAAACCCTCAGTGAGAGGCCCACAGCCCTACTTCTAGGGTCACCACTGCTTCTTCCAGCCCAGCCAAACAGCTCCTAGTACAGCTCAGAGCACCCTGCAAGGAGGGCAGGTGTTAAATCGAGGAGCACACATGCTCCACGAGGAATGCTTTGCTTTGAGGTCATGCACAGAGGTGGGTTCACTATGAAGCTTGTGAAATAAGCTTCAGGGCCCACAATTTGCATGGACCCCAGAGAGTCTGGGAGCTGCAGAAGGTTTGAGGGAAGAGGAGCCATCCCAAGCAGAATATATTCTAGAAGGCATTTCTGGCAAATGGCCCAAAGAGGCCTCAGGAGAAAAGAACTTGAGTCTTCAAGGTAACCTGCAACACTTTTGTGTCATTATAAGTATTAACTTTCATGCCTAAGTTTCATAAGTTTGTACACTTTTTTTTTAAAGAACCCCAGTCGGCCAGGCACAGTGGCTCATGCCTGTAATCCCAGCACTTTGGGAGGCCGAGGTGGGTGGATCACCTGAGGCCAGGAGTTCAAGACCAGCCTGGCCAACATGGTGAAACCCCATCTCTATCAAAAATACAAAAATTGGCCGGGTGTGGTGGCGTGTGCCTGTAATCCCAGCTACTTGGGAGGCTGAGGCAGGAGAATTGCTTGAACCCGGGAGGGAGAGGTTGCAGTGAGCTGAGATGGCACCACTGTGATCCAGCCTGGGGCACAAGAGCGAAACAGTGGCACCAGATCATCCAACTGTGCTTGAATCAAGTGGTCTTGATGCTTTGGTCTTAAAGTTTGTGTCTCCCCAAAATTCATAATTTCTAGTCCAGTGGTGTTGGGGGTGGGGCTTTTGGGAGGTGATAAGGTCACGGGGGTGGAGCCCTTATGAATGGGATTAGTGTTCTTATAATACAGGCCTGAGAAAACTTGTTCACCCCTTCTACCACATGAGGATGCAATGAGAAGGCACCATCTGTGAGGAACGGACCTTCAACAGACACCGAATTTGCTGGCACTTTGATCTTGGACTTCCCGGCCTCCAAAATTGTGAGCAATAAATTTCTGTTGTTTATAAATTACCTACTCTAAAATATTTTGTTACAGCAGCCCAAATAGATAAAACAAAGGATGTGAGTGAATTTGAGGAACTGGAAACAGGCAGAAATAGGGAAGAGGGTTTCGGTGTAGAACATGCAGTGGTTTGGAGGCATCAAATTACATGTGCCCAGGGGCAGGTGGCCACCGGCTGCCTTGCATTCTCCAAGAGCAGAAAGGTCAGTCAGGTACCTTTGACTTGGAGATGGCTTCGATGTTGCTGGCCATGTCATCGATCTCCATCTTCAGCTCACTCTTCTCCTTCTCCAGCTTCTGCTTCACCCGCTGCAGGTTGTCAATCTGCTCCCCAAGTTCAGCCACGCTATCTGCGTGCTTCTTCCTCAGGGTGGCTGCCGTGGCTTCATGCTGCAGGGTGGACTCTTCCAAGTCCCTGCGCATTTTCTGGAACTCAGCCTCCCGCTTCTTGTTCATCTCAATCTGGGCTGAAGTGGCCCCACTGGCTTCTTCCAGCCTCTCACTGATCTCCTCCAGTTCCCTGGCCAGATCTGAGCGCTGCTTCTCAATCTTGGCTCTGAGTGTGTGTTCTGCTTCAATTTCCTCCTCCAGTTCTTCTATGCGAGCCTGAAAGGATCACTCTATCAGGAATGTTATTGTGGAGGAGGGGGCAGCCTCCTTTGAGAGGGGCTGGGTGTTGAGGAATTGCAGGTAGGCAGCACGAGGTGGGTGGATCATTTGAGGTCAGGAGTTTGAAACCAGCCTGGCCGACATGGTGAAACTCCACCTCTACTAAAAATACAAAAATTAGCCAGGTGTGGTGGAGGCCACCTGTAGTCCCGGGTACTCGGGAGGCTGAGGCAGGAGAACAGCTTGAACCTGGGAGGTGGGGGTTGCAGTGAGCTGAGATCACGCCGCTGTGCTCCAGCCTGGGTGACAGAGACTCAGACTCAGAAAAAAAAACAAAACAAAAGAATTCATTATAACATTACATTGGTGAAAAACCTTGGAAACAACCTAAATGTCCATGAATAAGGGAATGCAGAAATCGATGGTGATGGAGACTTGTTCTAGTAGTCTATGGAGCAGGTAGACACCAATCCACGTCTATCATAGATAGCTCTGCAGATCACATTGCAAAAAAAAAGCAGCAAGTTGCAGAGTGATACTCTCAGTGTGATATTTATGCTAAGAATATAAAGAAACAAGAACCTTTTCTGCATGTGTACTATATATTTTTGGGGGGTCTTAAATGTGTACAAAAACACATAGCAAAAGAGGCAGAAGGATGCACATCCCACTGAAACTGGTCATTACTTCTGAGAAGACGGTGAGGGCACTGGGCTTAGGGGTGGTGGTCAAAGCACCCTTATCAATAATATTTAGCTTTACTGGGCCTATTTTGAGCCTTTGCAAGGAAGTATGTTTATGGGTTACTTAGAACATATTAAAATATTATTTTCAAAAACGAAAGGAAAGGACAGGACATCATCTCTAGCTTTAGCAGGAGGAAGGAAAGAAGCAGCTAAAGAAACAATGGGGAAGGAGTGAGGAGGGGCACTCTTGCAAAGGGATTGTCATGATTGGGAAGGTTTTGATGTTTTACCTGCAGTTCTTTAATCTTCTTTTGAAACTGCAAACTGTGGACTTGTTCATCATCTATTTTGGCTTGTAACTGACTGATTTCAAACTCCTTCCTGCAAATAGATTTTAAAAAAAGAACATGAGATACAAGCCTCTTGGAGGGGATGAAAGTTGGCTTTTAGGCTGAGACACAGAGGTGGTAAAAGAAATATCTACTTTTTTAATTTCTCTTCTATTTGCTGCTTGTCATTTTCTAGATCCATAATGGATTCCTGGGACATTTTCAGATCTCCTTCCAGCTTCCTCTTCGCCCTTTCCAGGTCTGCCCGCAGTTTCTTTTCCTGCTCTAAGGAACCCTCAAGCTGAGAAGACACACAGGTAGAAAAGTAAGCCCCTGCTGGGGAAGCGTTTGCTCCTTTCATTCAGCGCAGCCATACACGTGACCTGGGGCTTCCTGGGGCTCCTGTAGGGTGCTGGCTGCAAGCCTCTGGCCCCAGGAGGAAGCAAATCTTGTCCCCTACCTCCCCTCTCTTCTGTCTTCCAGAAAAGGCTACCCAGGGTGGGGCTGGATCCTTCATGGACCTCCTGGTGCCTCTCTCAACTGATTCCCACTTGGCCTGGCCCAGACCATGTTCCATGGAGGGGTATGGTACTCACGGGTGCACACCCTTGCACAGACAATACAAATGGGGGCTTCTATGGACAGCACTGTGAAGGCCTATGCTCTACACCATCACGCATTCCCTGCTAACATTACACAACCATGGGAGGCAAGGAATTCATGTGTGTGTATGTGTGTGTGCGTGTATGCACACACACACACGCACACATGGGAACAGGAAACAGGGGCGTAGAGGAGGAGCACACCTACCCTGGGCTCAGAAACATTCAAGTTATCTAGAAAATCTCTAGCCACAATAATGATTAAAACCTGAAAACTTCAAAAGTGGCTCTTACATCAAGAATAATAACGTCATGGGATGGTAGTGGAAATAGTAATTTTCGTGGCCACAAATGGAACTCATCTTTAATAACATTACAACAGGATGGGAGGTTCTGGAACCCAAAGGACCTACAGGTGGATGCTAATAATACTGATGATGGCGATGATAGCAATAATAGCGGCTGTGTTTTACTGAACACCTTCTGTGTGCTGAGCTTTCTGTGAACACCCTCTGAGATGGAGCTATTTCCATCACCATTTCACAAGGCACAAATGGAGGCTTTGCAAGGGTAAGCAGCTTGCTTAGTATCCCAGACTCCTTCAGGGTCAGGATGGGGCTGAGATCTGAACTTAGGGATGCTGATTCCAGAGTCTGACTTCTCAAGCCCTGCGTCCTAGTTAGACCGTCTGTTGTCTGTGCTTCCACAAGTGATAAATGCTAAAGCATAGTAGTAAAATATCCTCACATCATCTGTTTGCTGTTCAAGCTTGGCATTTATTTTGATTAGACCATTGACTTTATCTTCTTCAACCTGAAGGTCATCCAGTGTTTGCTGATGGGCCTCCTGTAGAGACTTCTTTTCTTTGGTCAATTTGGAAATGTTTTCTTCAAGTGCTGTCATTTCTTCGGAGAGATTCTTTACCTGGGACAATATCGACACTGATTTAATATGGAAAACGATTAAGCCAGAAGCTTCCATCAACAAAAGCTATTGCTTCTTTGCTCATTTTTCCTCTTTCCCTTTTCCTTTTGGCTACTACTTTTTTACCTCCTGGAATTGACAGACTCTCAGTTCTTTATCTTCCTTAACGGTCTATCACGGCGCCTCAAATTCTCCCATTAGGATTATTCATTTAAGGAGGGCAGTATATTCTATAAGGAAGGGCACTGTTAAAATGCAAATGTGCTACCTCTGAAGGGTAACACATCAATCTATATTTGCTCATAACACGTCTGTGGAAATGTGTTTATTAGGCTGGCTGGCTGAATAGGGTTTAGAATGAGGCAGGAAGGGGAGGAGAGGCGTGAGGTGCTCTGCAAGAAAATTCACGCCGGGTGCAGTGGCTCACGCCTGTAATCCCTGCACTTTGGGAGGCCGAGGTGGGCAGATCATGAGGTCAGGAGATTGAGACCATCCTGGCTAACACTATGAAACCCCATCTTTACTAAAAATACCAAAAAATTAGCCGGGCGTGGTGGCAGGCGCCTGTAGTCATAGCTACTCAGGAGGTTGAGGCAGGAGAGTGGCGTGAACCTGTGAACCTGGGAAACGGAGCTTGCAGTGAGCAGAGATCACACCACTGCACTCCAACCTGGGAGACAGAGTGAGACTCTGTCTTGAAAGGAAATAAAAGAAAAGAAAAGAAAAGAAAAAAGAAAGGAAAGGAAAGGAAGAAGGAAAGAAAGAAAGAAGAAAGAAAGAGGAAGGAAGGAAGGCAGGAAGGAAGGAAGGAAGGAAAGAAAGAAAGAAAGAAAGAAAAGAAAATTCAGAACAGGAGTGCTGTATTATCAGGAAGCAGGAGGAGGGCACCCAACATGGAACTTGAAGGAAGTAAGTGAAACTTTTTCCACATCCAACAGGCCTCCAGATCAGAAGTTGCTAACTCCTAATCTATGGGCTGAATCTGGCCATATTTTCTTTAGTCCACATAGTAGTTTACAGTGTTATTATTTACAATGTCACAGTAGTTTTTGTTTGTTTTTTCGTTCTTGTTTTGTTTTGTTTTGTTTTGTTTTGTTGAGACGGAGTCTCGCTCGGTCGCCCAGGCTGGAGTGCAGTGGCCGGATCTCAGCTCACTGCAAGCTCCGCCTCCCGGGTTCATGCCATTCTCCTGCCTCAGCCTCCCGAGTAGCTGGGACTACAGGCGCCCGCCACGTTGCCTGGCTAGCTTTTGTATTTTTAGTAGAGATGGGGTTTCACCACGTTAGCCAGGATGGTCTCGATCTCCTGACCTTGTGATCTACCTGCCTCAGCCTCCCAAAGTGCTGGGATTACAGGCGTGAGCCACCGTGCCCGGTCTGTAGTTTTTTAAATGTTACCAACATTGAAAAAAATGAGACTTCATGTAAAACTTGGATTTCTGGCTTCTCATGGAAAACCAGAAGTTCTGAAAATGCTGGATTTCCATTCCCCGCTGACAACAGTTGGCTGGGGTTGAGTCACCGCTGCCTTCTGTGGACAGGGCGAGAGCTCTTCAGTTTGCTACAGTCCCCAGCCCTTCCGAGTGTCTTTCTCCATTACTCCCAGCGTCTATCCAACACTGACTCTGAGTGTCAACTGTCATTGTCTCTTACGCTCAGCAGTTTGCATCCCTTAGCCCACCTCATGGGCAACCCATTATGATGTGAATCATGTCAGTGGTTTTATATATTTTTGTCGAAATGTATGTCGTTATGTTGTGTGCATATGATTTTTGTCTACATAAATGCTATTATGTTGTATACTTCATTTTCTTTTCCTTCTTTTCTTTTTTTTTTTGAGATGGAGTCTTGCTTTGTCGCCCAGGCTGGAGTACAGTGGTGCGATCTCGGCTCACTGCAATCTCTGCCTCCCAGGTTTGAGTGATTCTTCTGCCTCAGCCTCCCAAGTAGCTGGGAATACAGGCACCTGCCACAACGCCCAGCTAATTTTTGTATTTTTAGTAGGACGGGGTTTCACCATGTTAGCCAGGATGGTCTCGATCTCCTGACTCCATGATCCGCCCCCCTTGGCCTTCCAAAGTGCTGGGATTACAGGCGTGAGCCACCGCGCCCGGCCCTATATTTCATTTTCTTACATTTTCCCACCATTTAGCAGTGTTTAACATTTGCTGTGCACAACCCGTTGTTCCTAGTGGCTACGTAGTGCTCCCTGGTGTGTATCTACTATATGTTATCTCTCCGTTTTCCCCGTGGTGGACCCTGGCACTGCCTCCAGCTGTCTCCCACAAGCAATGCCACTACAAACACCCTAGGACATGTCGCCTTGGAGAAAGGTGGAAGAATTCCTCGATCTATACACCCAGGAGCAGAATTGCTGGGTCGTAGGGTATCTGGATTCTTAATTCGACTAAGTCATTCCAAATGACTTTCCCAAAGGCTGCATCAGTCTCTGTTCTGCCAGTACCCGCTCCTCTCAGTCAATCCTTGGTGTTACCCAGTCTTCTGCCTCCTTCACTATCTGCCTGGCCCCTGTGGGCCTTCTTGTTTGCAATCCCTGCGCTTGGTGCTATGGGAAATGAAGAAGAATATGAAACAGTCCTTTCTCTCAAAGAAATGCTAGAAGTTTGTGATACAGTCAGGGAGGTTTGAGAAGAGCCTATGGGGTCAGGCGCAGTGGCTCACACCTGTAATCCCAGCACTTTGAGAGGCTGAGGTGGGTGGATCACCTGAAGTCAGGAGTTCGAGACCAGCTTGGCCCACATGGTGAAACCCCATCTCTACTAAAAATACAAAAAATTAGCTGGGCATGGTGGTGTGCGCCTGTAATCCCAGCTACTCGGGAGGCTGAGGCAGGAGAATCGCTTGAACTCGGGAGGCGGAGGTTGCATTGAGCTGAGATCGCACCACTGTAACGAGATCTGCCTGGGTGACAGAGCAAGACTCTGTCTCACAAAAAAAAAAGAAAGAAGATGACGAAGGAGATGGAGGAGGAGGAGAACCTATGGGACAGAAAAGACGGCAGGGGACAGAACTTGTTGGGACTTAACTACCCTTCTCCTTGACTCCAGCCTCTCATTTCCGGGCAATGTTGTATTGAGTGGACTCCTACGCCACCCTTTCTCCTCCTTACACAGAGAGAGAGAGAAACCTGGTTAAGACACTGCGGGAATCCCTTGGGTTTGCGCACCTTGTTCTCTGTGGCATGCTTCTCCTTTTCAACTTTCGTCAAGGTCAGCTCCAGGTCATCAATGTCTCTCTTGAGAGAGCAGCATTTGTCTTCCAGATTCCTCTTCTTGGCAACCAGTTCAGAATTCATGTCCTCTTCCTCTTCCAGTCTCTCAGTCAGCTCCTTGACTTTTGCTTCCAGTAGGATCTTGCTTTTGATGAGTCCTTCACACCGTTCCTCAGCGTCCATCAGATTTTCCGTTTCCTGAAAGAACCAGGTCATTTTATGTTTTGATTGGCCTCTTTGAAAATGCTACAAAGAAAGGGTGTCACCCTCTTAAAGCCCATTATCTACGCCTAAGCCAATAAATGGGTCATACACACACATGCATGCACATGTGCACACACTGCACACATACGTGTACATAAACTTAGATATCACCCATAAACACATTTTTCTTTTTAGATGGAGTTTTGCTGTGTGGCCCAGGCTGGAGTGTGGTGGCGCGATCTTGGCTCACTGTAACCTCTGCCTCCCAGGTTCCAGCGATTGTAGTCCCGAGTTGCTGGGATTACAGGCATGTTCTACCACACCTGGCTAATCTTTGTAATTTTTGTAGAGATGGGATTTCACCATGTTGGCCAGGCTGGTCTCAAACTCCTGACCTCAGGTCATCCTTCCGCCTCAGTCTCCCAGAGTGCTGGGATTACAGGCGTGAGTCACTGTACCTGGCCAGTATACATGCTGTTTTTTTGTTTGTTTTTAACTACCAAGGACATTGCTTATAGAAATTTGCATATAATAATTTGTCCATTTATTTCTTTAGAGACAAGATCTTGCTCTGTTGCCAAAGCTGAAGTGCAATGGTGTGAGACAGCCCACTGCAGCCTCACACTCCTGTGCTCAAGTGATCCTCCCACCTCAGCCTCCCAAGTAGCTGGAACTACAAGGTATGTGCCACCATGACTGGCTTCATTTTGTGTGTGTGTACAGATGGGGTCTCAATGTGTTGCCCAGGCTTGTCTCAAATTTTAGCCTCAAGTGATCCTCCTGCCTCAGCCTCCCAAAGTGCTGGGACTACAAGTGTGGGCCCCCATGCCTGGCCTCACTTATAATAATTTCAAACAGAGGAGTTCATGAAGTTACAAGTTCATTTTAAAGAATGAAGCCTCTAGAAATTTGCCACATTTGGGCTGGGCGCGGTGGCTCAAGCCTGTAATCCCAGCACTTTGGGAGGCCGAGATGGGCGGATCACGAGGTCAGGAGATCGAGACCATCCTGGCTAACACGGTGAAACCCCGTCTCTACTAAAAAATACAAAAAACTAGCCGGGGAAGGTGGCGGTAGTCCCAGCTACTCAGGAGGCTGAGGCAGGAGAATGGCGTAAACCCGGGAGGCGGAGCTTGCAGTGAGCTGAGATCCGGCCACAGCACTCCAGCCTAGGTGACAGAGTGAGACTCTGTCTCAAAAAAAAAAAAAAAAGAAATTTGCCACATTTGAACAGCTGTTCATCTCACTCTTCCTGCTACCACCAGTTGGAAAATGACTCATCTACTCTATGTTCTCTGAAGCTGACAAAATCGTTTCAAAACATTACTATCTTTTAACTTCCATTAAATTTGTTTTTAAATGTATGTATTTATTTATGGTCTAGAGATAAGGTCCCACTATGTTGCCCAGGCTGGTCTCGAGCTTCCGAACTCGAGTGATCCTCCTGCCTTGGCTTCTGAAAGTGTTGGGATCGCAGGCAGGAGCCACCAGGCCTGGTCCTTTCAATGGAAAAGTTCTTCCTGTGTCTCCTTAGCTGTGTCTTCTTGAACCACAGAACAGAAAATTAAAAACACCCAAGAATTCGTGATTGAATACATATGTCCTAGAAGATACTGCAGTGAATCTCTTGAACAGACCAACATCAGCTACTTCTGTTCTAAATCAGGCTATATCTTCCCATATAAGAGTATTTATTTATTTATTTTTTGAGACAGAGTCTCACTGTGTCTCCCAGGCTGGAGTGCAGTGGCGCAATCTCAGCTCACTGCAAGCTCCGCCTCCTGGGTTCAAGTGATTCTCCTGCCTCAGCCTCCTGAGTAGCTGGGACTACACGTGTGCACCACCACGCCCGGCTAATTTCTGTATTTTTAGAAGAGACAGGGTTTCACCATGTTGGCCAGGATGGTCTCGATCTCTTGACCTCATGATCCACCTGCCTCAGCCTCCCAAAGCGCTGGGATTACAGGCGTGAGCCACCGCGCCCGGCCTGTATAAGAGTATTTTAAGACACATACTGCAGGGTAATGCGTGGGAGGAGACTGGTACGTGTGCTAATGTTTATTGAACATCTATAAACATGAGCTGTGTGCTAGGCATTTTATACGCATTAACTGTTCATTCTTCAACAGCTGGATGAGGTGAGTACTGTGACTATGCCCATTTTACAGACGAGACAACGGAAGCACAAAGAGGATACGTAGCTCGCCCAAGGTCACGCGGCTATCAGGTGGAACATCTGGGATAGAAACCCAGTTATCTGGTTCCAAGAACTGTTCTCTTGCCTGCTGTGCCTGGGAAAGCACTCCTGTTAACTCACTATAGGGGTTGGGAAATCACATGAAAAGGGGAGCGGAAAATGCTCTGCATAAAAAACAAAAGGTAAAAGTATTTGGAGGTTTATGAAAAGGGAAAATTATAAATGCCTTCACTCTGTGAAAGAGACAATTATACTGTCCCATTTCTTTTCTTTTCTTTTTTTTTTTTGAGATGGAGTCTTGCTCTGTCGCCAGGCTGGAGTGCAGTGGAGTGATCTTGGCTCACTGCAACCTCCACCTCCCAGGTTCAAGTGATTCTCCTGCTCAGCCTCCTGAGTAGCTGGGACTACCGGTGTGTGCCACCACACCTGGCTAATTTTTTTTTTTTTTTGTATTTTTAGTAGAGACGGAGTTTCACCATGTTAGCCAGGATGGTCTTGATCTCCTGACCTTGTGATCCACCCACCTCGGTCTCCCAGAGTGCTGGGATTACAGGCATGAGCCACCATGTCCAGCCTATATCCTCCCATTTCTTTGATAAAACTATGTATATTTAAAGTACTTTTTTTTTTGAGATTGGGGTCTCACTATGTTGCCCAGGCTGGAGTGCAGTGGCATGTTCTCAGCTCACTGCAGCCTCAACCGCCTGGGCTCAGGTGATCCTCCCACCTCAGCCTTCTGAGTATCTTGGACTAGAGACATGCACCACCACACCTGGCTGGTTTTTTTATTTTTATTTTTTATAGAGATGGGGTTTTGCCATGATACCCAGGCTGGTCTTGAACTCCTGGGCTCAAGCAATCCTCCCACCTCAGCCTCCCAAAGTGTTGGGCTTACAGGCATGAGCCACCGCGCCTGGCCTAAAGCACTTTTTACATATTACTGTAAATCATATATGGACAATTACTCTTGCACTTTGAATTGGGTTAATTTTGATTATTTATTTTTATTTGTATTGTTTTTTAAAAGGTGTGGTGCATATATGTATGACACATATATATCCCTCATGCCCACAGCAAAATATATCTAACTCTGTGATGTTGGGGACAAATCAGAGCACAGATTCTCTTTGCAGACATAATTTCTGGCACTCACTGCTTTGGCGAAGCCCGGGACCAGGCATCCTTTTACCAGCAGGGTGGTGCTGCAATACTCCATACAACCACTGGGTGACACCACTGTCTCTTGAATAGATGCCTGATGGTGCCCTCAACCTTCCTCCCCCTTTTCTGTCCTCCAGCGTCTGTGTTTTGCATTCTTAAGTGGGAGGTACTTACAGACTGGACCTGCAATTGGAGGTCATTCTTTTCCTGCAGCAGGGAGACCATTTTCTCCTCCAGCTCCTTCCGGCGAGCCTCGGATCGGGCCAGTTCTTCCTTGGTCCTCTCGAAGTCTTCCTTCATGGTGGCCATCTCCTTCTCGGCCTCTGCACTCTTCAGTAGGGGCTTGATTTTGAAGAACAGGTTCATCCAGGGCCAGTGCTTGACGTTCATAAAAGAGCGGATGTTGTACTGGATGCAGAAGATGGAGTCCCTGTACACCCATTAGGACTCGAATTAATAAACCCAGCAAGGTCTGGTCTCTGCACCCCCCACCTGTCCCCCACGGGCCCATCCTCCATCCTTCCTGGTTAGGTGGGGAGGTGCAGCCAAGCTTGGCAGATCCTCTGGATCCAGAGTAGGTCTGCAAATGAGGGGCAGAGGAGACAGAGGCACGTGCACAGGTTGGAAGGTAGGAGAGGGTGCGGGGCCTCCTGCAGGCACCTGGTCACCTGGCTGCCCCTTCTACCACCCTACTGAGTGCCCTGCCTGAGGGCGTCAGTGGCTTCCTAATGCTCAATTCAAGGAATAGCTTTCATTCCTATTTGATTGGGTCTTTCTCCCACATTTGATGTGTTAACCAGTTCTCAACTTTTGAAACTTCTGCCCTAGATTCCATCAACATGTTTCCTGTTTCATTGTATTTTGCCATATGAGGTCCCTCTTTCTTGCTGAAGAAACCAAGGACTTGTCCTTGGTCATCTCCCAGTCTCTTGCCCTGGTAGAGTTGATCTGTCTTCCCAATTTCTTTCTTTTCTATATATTTTTTTGAGACTTTTTTTTTTTTTTTTTTTTTTTTTTGAGACGGAGTCTTGCTCTGTTGCCCAAGCTAGAGTGTAATGGTGCAATCTCGGCTAACTGCAACCTCCACCTCCTGGGTTCAAGCAATTCTTCTGCCTCAGCCTCCTGAGTAGCTGGGATTACAGGCGACTGCCACCATGCCTGGCTAATTTTTTGTATTTTTAGTAAAGACAAGATTTCACCATGTTAGTCAGGATGGTCTCGATCTCCTGACCTCGTGATCCACCCGCCTCGGCCTCCCAAAGTGCTGGGATTACAGGCGTGAGCCACCACGCCCGGCCCATGCCTGGCTAATTTTTAGTAGAGACGGGGTTTCGCCATGTTGGCCAGGCTGGTCTCGAACTCCTGACTGCAGGTGATCTGCCCGCCTCGGCCTCCCAAAGTGCTGGGGTTACAAGCGTGAGCCACCGCAACCAGCCTGTATTCCTAATTTCTACTGCTGTTTTCATCCCAGCATCACCCACATGATCTCCTCCCCTTCACCCTCCACAGCTTTGTATTTACATAGCTTATGGATTCCTGAACACTGGCTTCTCTTTGCCTTCTTGAGATTCTTTTCATCTCCATGCTGGCTTCCATCTGCTTCACCAAACTCAATGCCTGGGAGTCATTCCTGACGCATACGTAATGGCGGTCCATTATGGCTCTGACAGTCAGAGTCACAGGGGATCAGGGAACCAGGGAGAACAGGCTCTCTCCCACACTCTCCCTGCAATCCCTGCAGTCATCAGTGCTGCTATTCCGTCTCTTGAATTATCAAAGGAATCAGACTTAAACGTTCCTTTAATCCGTGCCCTGCTCTCTAACCCACCAACCATGTCCTACTTCAGGTCCTTGTCATCCCTTGTTTGGACTTCTACCACACTGTGGTCTTGCCCCTCCATAGCCCTTGTGTTCACCCTCCTCCTAGCTGCCAGAGTGACGCAATCCTACCCCTCGTCTCCCCACACACCTTCTACAGCTCTCCATCAATGACAGGGTGCAGCCTGGGTTTCCGAATGTGACACACAGGGACCTCCACTGCCTGCCTCTTGCTCTAGATTCCAATGACAGCCATTTGCTTGTCGGGCTTCCTCCCAGACCACCCACTCTCAGGTTATGTAGACCTTGCTTCAGGAAGTGCTTTCTTCAGCCGGGCATGCTGGCTCACACTTGTAATCCCAGCACTTTGGGAGGCTGAGGCGGGCGGATCACCTGAGGTCAGGAGTTCAAGACCAGCCTGGCCAACATGGTGAAACCCCATCTCTACTTAAAAAAAAATATATATATATATATATATATATATATATATATATATATATATATATATAAATTAGCCAGGCATAATTAATTACACCTGTGATCCCAGCTACTAGGGAGGCTGAGGCAGGAAGGTCACTTGAACCTGGAAGGTGGAGGTTGCAGTGAGCTGAGATTGTGCCACTGTACTCAGCCTGGATAATAGAGCAAGACTCTGTCTCAAAAAAAAAAAAAAAAAAAAAAAAAAAAGTGCAAAAAAAAAAAAAAAAAAAAAAAGTGCTTCCTTCTTGCTGGCATCTTCATGCCAACTCCAACCCCCCAGCTAGGCTAGGGGCTTATTCTTGCCAGTTCCCTATCCCCCGACTATAACACGAACATTGCGCTTATCACAGGCATTAAAACCAGCCATGCACGTGTCTGCTTCCCACTCCTTTGTGACCCTGTGAGACAGGGTTCATTTCTGTCTCCCCAGTGCCATGCAGAGCACCCAGCCCAGGATTGCCGCTCAGTAGATGTGGGTTACACAAATGAAGGAAAGAAAGAGCAAGCACATGGATATCCCAAGACGAAAAGCAGGAAGCGACAATCAGCTGCTAAGCAGGATAAGGTGGATGTGAGAGTCTGTGTCACCTCCTCTCCATCATCTTCTTGAACTCCACCCGCATCAGGTAGCCCCTGCACACGGCCTGCGTGCGCGTCATTAGCGTCACCAGCTTCTCGTCTCTCATCTCCTCCAGAAGCCCCAGGAGCCCAGCTTTGAAAAACACCTGCATTAAAAGACAGAGGAGCCTTGATCTTTCTCCCCAGCAGGTGTTCAGCCCGGCCCTTGAGGGAGCCTGTTTCTGCCCAACTCTGAGCCTCAACCTCAGAGCATGGCAGGGACAGCAATTCCGTTTCCAGGACTTGCTTCTCAGTGACTCTGGTCTCCTCAGTGGCCCCTCCTGGGCAGTGAGGCAGCCTGTTCCAGAGTCTGTTCCAGGTCAGGTGCGGTGGCTCATGCCTGTAATCCCAACTCTTCGGGAGGCCGAGGCAGGCAGATCATTTGAGGTCAGGAGTTCGAGACCAGCCTGGCCATCATGGTGAAACCCTGTCTCTACTAAAAACACAAAAATTATCCGGGCGTGGTGGTATCCAGGCACCTGTAATCCCAGATACCCAGGAGGTTGAGGCAGGAGCATCACTCGAGCCTGGGAGGTGGAGGTTGCAGTGAGCAGAGATTGCGCCATTGCACTCCAGCCTGGGTGACAGAGCAAGACTCTGTCTCAAAACAAAACAAACAAAACAACAACAACAAAAACCCAAAACAACAACAAAAAACCAACCTGTTCCAGGCCCCACCAATCCACAGAGACCAGTTCTGACAGAGCTCACGTACAGGAAACAAAGATGAGCCCAGAAAAAAACCATGGGATACAAGTGTGCCCAGATCAGAGAGACTCACAGATGCGCTGGCTTCACTCTCTTTCTCTGTCCATCTGGGAAAGTTGATTCTACCCTCAGGCCCACTTCACCCACTCCCTCCATAACATTCCAGGGAAACCAAGCGCCCTCTGGGCCAGCAGGCTGTTCCTTGGTGGGGACCCCCAGCCTGCCCCTTTCTGAGATGTGAATCTTCGGAGGCAGGCCAGGATTTGAAGCCGACCTTTGCCACTTACTGTCTATCCATGTGTGACCTTGAGTCAGTTTCTCAACCTCCCAAGAACCTGAAGAGTCAGTGCCATCCTTGTCACCATCACTCCCACCTCTCTGGATAGTGAGGAGTCAGTGAAGTACGTGCAGGAGGCTTCTCACGGGGCTGATACTCACGTGCTCAATAAATGGCAGCTAGTTTGTCTTCGTTTTTGTTTTTTGAGACAGGCCTTCACTCTGTTGCCCAGGCTGGAGTGCAGTAGGGTGGTCAAGCGCACTGCAGCCTCCTTCTCCTGGCCTCAAGCAATCCTACTTCAGCCTCCCAGAAGCACTGGGATTATCGGCATGAGCCACTGCGCCCCGCCTGGCAGCTGGTTTTATTGGTTATAAGTCATTCTTCTCAAGGCCTCAGTGTCCGTGGAGTCCTCTCTACGTTCTCTTCTCTTTTCGGCTCTTTCTTACCTCGGACACTAGAGTTTCCCGTTGGCTTTTCCTATCCTTGCTGCATGGTGGGGCTCAGGCTTCCAGTCTAAGCTTCCAACCATGTACAAACCAATAGGGAGACAAGCTCTCTCTACCTAGACACAGAGCTCTCTTTACCTGGGTGACTGGGCAAGGATGGTCAGGTGTACCAGATGGGGAAAGGGATCAGCTAACAAGCAGCCCAGGGCTGTGGGGTTACTAGGGGGGTCCCAGCCTCACCTGTACTCACCTTGGTGTTGCCGAACCTGAACTGCTCCCGGTCCACATCGATGGAGTTCAGGAGCTTCTCTGAGGCGTTTTTGCTATCAATGAACTGCCCTTCAGGGATAGCACTGGCATTGAGGATCCGGTACCTAAGGAGAGAGGACATTTCCCGGATGGATTCCAATCCCCGGAAAGGCTTCATAGCTGAGACCAGGACTTCTAGAATCTTCTCCTGCTCCAGCCTTAGGAGGAAGTGGAATATTGTACAGCTGGTCTGGGAGATGGGAATAGCTAGGGGCTGATTCTAGCAAGGGGGCCACGGTGGGTGGGAGAGAAGCGTGAAAGAAGGAAGCCCAGCTGAGTGCATGGCGGGAAGTTTGCTTTCAGAGGAAATGATTCTTCTCTGGCTTAAAAGAGCCTTGAAATCAACTGTGACCTGCAGACCTTGGTTCTCCTACTTCTGGAAGGTCCTCTCCTGTCCTCCATCCTGGATGAGGCCTGGACTTGCGCACCCCAATGGTGGCTCAGTGGACAGAGTTAGTCTAGAGCTGCGGGCCTCAGCTGGGGGTGATTTGGCAATGTCTGGAGAGTTTTGATTGTCACAGCTTAGCGGGGAGGGGTGTGGTTCGCTACCACATCTCTGAGTAGAGGGCAGGGTTACTGCTAAAATCCTCCCACACCCAGACAGCCTCCACAATAAAGGACTGAATGTCTAGCCTGAATGTCCATCGTTCGGAAGTTGAGACATCCTGGCCTAGAGTCACAATCAGGCTAGAGGGTCTGGGCTCTGAATTTGGAACCACTTGGGCTGGCCCAGCACTCACTGTGGGCATAGTGTCAGTTCCTCCAGCAAGAGATGAAGTCCGTGGAAACTCTGGGAGGCTTGGGAGCTCAGCAAATACCCAGGCCGAAGAGTGTCTTTGGGGAATGCAGAAGTTGCCCTCGGAAGGAGAGAGATGCACAGGAGAGAGGGAACCTACCGCTGCTTGAAGTCAGCATAGAGGATCCGGCTAGGGAATCCCTTTCTGCAAATCCGGATGCCCTCGAGGACCCCGTTACAGCGCAGCTGGTGCATGACCAAGTAGTGGTCCATCACACCTGGAGAGAGAACGTGCCTGTGACCCCTTCATTTGTTGATGGTCTGAGGCACCATGAAACCCTCCAGCACATCCACACTTGAGTGGCAGAGTCAGTGCCAGCTCCCAGGTAGAGGGCTGGGAGTGGCCGGAGGCTGCCTGCAGGTCCCACAGTAGAAATAATCCCAGCCTTTTGGGGAGATGCTAGCACCCCATAACCATGGCAGTAAGAGCCAAAGCATTGTGCTTTCTGTCCTCAGCCCTGACTCTGCAGCAAGGCTGCAAAAGGGGGCAGAGTGAATATGGGGTGCACTTGGGCTTCCCGTGGGATAACCTGAGATGTCTTCTTGCATCTACACAAGGATGGAGTTGGAAAAATCTTCAGGCTGCGGCTGCAGAAGAGTAACCCAGCAAAGAAGAGGAGGCCGGCTGGGCCCAGTGGCTCATGCCTATAATCCCAGCACTTTGGGAGGCCGAGGTGGGCATATCGCCTGAGGTCAGGAGTTCGAGACCAGCCTGGCCAACATGGTGAAACCCAGTTTGTACTAAAAATACAAAAATTAGCCAGGCGTAGTGGCACACGCTCATAATCCCAGCTACTTGGGAGGCTGAGGCAGGAGAATTGCTTGAACACAGCAGGCGGAGGTTGCAGTGAGCTGAGATTGAGCCCTTGCACTCCAGCCTAGGCAACAAGAGTGAAACTCTGTCTCAAAATAATAATAATAATAATAATAAAGAAAGAAAGAAAGGAAAAAAGAAGAGGAGGCCATGGGAGGAGACCCAGAGGGGGGTTGAAGGCAGGGCGGCGGTCATCTGCTGACCACTCAGCCCCTGCTCTAGGAATTGGGGGAGAAATGGAGCTTGGCTGGAAGGAGAGGAGCCAGAGGGGCATGCCCCCCTGGGGAGGTAACGTGGATGCTCGTGGTAACCAGCCTGGGTCAGGCACAGATCAAACTAGGATGGAGAAAATTCTGTCTCAGGTCTGTGTGAGGGGTTAGAGGAGAGGGGCTATGGCAACCTGATGGCTTCTCTCTGTGGGCTCCCTAAGTTGCTGGGAGGGGGGTGGGGCCAAAGCTGTCTTTGACTTAACCTTAGGGAAGCTTCTAGAATGCCCACATGCTTCCCTGGTAGCTGTGAGGAGACATCTCTATACAATTAGATGATTTTTCAAGGCTTTGGTAGAGCTGCACTGTCAGATACAGTAGTGACCAGCCACATGTGGCTATTTACATTTAAATTTATTAACATTCAAAATTAATTAACATTTTAAAACTTTTCATGTAACTGTAAACATTTCATGTAATGGTGGCCACCCTATTAAACAGTGCAGACATGGGGCATTTAATCATTTCTGAAAGTCCTATCAGGCGGTGGTTCTCTAGAGAAAACATGGTTAAGAGCAAGGAGAAAATGTCTCAGACATTCAGAGAACTGGCCAGGTGCAGCGGCTCAACACCTGTAATCCCAGCACTTGGAAGGCCGAGGTGGGCAGATCCCCTGAGGTCAGGAGTTTGAGACCAGCCTGGCCAACGTGGTGAAACCCCATCTCTACTAAACATACAAAAATTAGCCGGGTGTGGTAGCGGGCACCTGTAGTCTCAGCTACTGGGGAGGCTGAGTCAGCAGAATGGTTTGAACCCGGGAGGCAGAGGTTGCAGTGAGCCGAGATGGTGCTACTCCACTCCAGCATGGGTGACAGAGCAAGACTCAGTCTCAAACAAACAAATAAATAAATAAAATAATTTAAAAAAGAAATTCATAGAACCGCCGATGTGGAGAGAACCTTAGAAATGATCTAATTTGACTCCCATGAGCTCTCAGATGATGACTCTGAGTGTTTTGAGTGGTTAAGATCCCAGCTGTGCTGTTTACTAGCTTTGTGGACTTGGGCTGTCTCTGCCTCAATTTCTCTATTTGTAAAACAAGGATAATAATGTAGATTGAGCATCCCCAATCAGAAAATTCAAAGCCTGAAAACTTTGAGCTCCAACCTGATGCCACCGTGGAGAATTCCACCACTGAGCTCATGAGGCAGATTGCAGCCAAAACTGTTTCACGTATAAAATTATTTAAAATATTCTATACAATTACCTTAGGGCTATGTGTATAAGACCCATATGAAACAGATGAATTTTGTATTTAGACTTAGTCCCATCCCAAGATATCTCATTAGGCTCATACAGATATTCCAATAGCCACAGAAATTTAAAGTGTAAAATACTCCTGGTCCCAAGCATTTCAGATAAAGGGATATTCAACCCATAGTATCTATTTCATCAGGCGGTTAAAGATTAACTGAGTTAAGATGAGTACAGGCCGGGCACGGTGGCTCACACCTATAATCCAGCACTTTGGGAGGCCGAGGTGGGCGGATCGCCTGAGGTCAGGAGTTCGAGACCACCCTGGCCAACATGGTGAAACCCTGTCTCTACTAAAAATAAAAAATTAGCTGGGGGGATGTGGTGTGTCCCTGTAATACCAGCTACTCTCGGGGCTGAGGCAGGAGGAGGATTGCTTAAACCCTAGAGGCCTTGGCAAGAGGTTGCAGATGAGCTGAGATCGCACCACCATTGCACTCCAGCCTGAACAGTGAGACCCTGTCTTGAAAAATCAAGATCAGTACAGAGGTTTAAATGGTGAAAGCAGGCATACACTTGCTTTAATCATGGCTGAGGCACCTCTTTCTTCTTAAGCGCCGGGAGCAGAGAAAAGGCATAATTACGTCTTGAAAAAAAAAAAAAAAGAGAGAGAGAGAAAAGATCAGGATAGCAGTTAAAATGGTGAAAGCAGGCATGATTAACACTTGCGTTAACCATGTGGCTGAGGCCTCTTCTTAAGCGCCGGGAGCAGAGAGAAAAAGGCATAATTACAAGAAAATGGAAGCTTCTAGAGCCAGCAGAAAGCTGAAAGGACCATCATTTTATGGTGGGGAGGCCAGAGCTGCCACCATGCTTGCCAGGCCGTCCATCCTGTTAAGGGCTGTGTCCCACTTGCACTGGGAGATCTTTTCGAATTCCTGCAGAGGCATCCTATGGGGTGGCAGGGCCCTGGGGGAGACTGAGGCCCAGAGAGGTGAAGAGCTTTGCAAGGCCATGGCAGAGCTGATACGGGACTCTCCTCTCTCACAGGGCCCCTCTGGTTTGTGCAGACTCGGAATCCTGAGCTGAGTTCTCTTAGGGCTTTCTCTGTTTTTCCTTAAACCCGGCCTGAGATGTTTTCTATCGGGTCCATGTAAAGGGCCTCCTTTGGTTTTGTACCAACGTGCAAAACTTCTAAAAATTTCCCTGAGCTATTCTCTCATTCTTCTGCTTCAATTGCTGAAGGGTTTTTCCTCTTTACTTCTCCAAGTGTATCCCTTCCATCCCGCTCCTTTCTCCAGCCATCTTTGCCTCCATGGGCAGTGGTGTTAGCCACGCTTTTGAAATATGCTGTATCTTATGATGCTCTGGCATCTTGGGGCCTTGCCGGCCCAGGAGAAACTGCCCTTCCCGGGGCTAGCTAATTCCAGGAGATAGCAAACAAATTCCCGCATGCACATCTTTCACATGCAAACCAACTATCCAAAACCGTTAACCCCCAACCCCTACCTTTGTCAGGCTCTCACAGGACTCTTACACTCTGGGCCAATATTTCCCTGCCCTGGTCACCTCAGGGCCCCGGGTACCGGCCAACTTGAGAAAGTTCCTACATTTTGAAGCCTGCTGAAACCATTCAAACTTGCCAGTGCTGAACCTGCTTGGCCTGTTCATGCTTCCTCACCGACTCCATCCCATTGGAACGACCCTCAAGGCTCTGGCCTGTGATTTCTTCTTACTCCCCCACCGCCACACCTAGCCCTGGTGCTTCCCCTCATGGCCCTCTGTGGCAGGCCCCCTCCTCTCGAGCACTGCATCTTTTTTTTTTTTTTTTTTTTTTTTTTTTTGAGACGGAGTCTCGCTCTGTCACTGAGGCTGGAGTGCAGTGGCGCAATCTCGGCTCACTGCAACCTCCGCCTCCCGGGTACAAGCAATTCTGCCTCAGCCTCCCAAGTAGCTGGGATTACAGGCATGCGCCACTACGCCAGGCTAATGTTTGTATTTTTAGTAGAGACAGGGTTTCACCATGTTAGGCTGGTCTCAAACTCCTGACCTCAGGTGATCCACCCGCCTCAGCCTCCCAAAGTGTTGGGATTACAGGCGTGAGCCACCATGCCCAGCCGTGGCTGTCTTTTTAATGGTAACCATCTTCTGGTCTGTTGGCCTCTCCATCCCTTAACAATAATAAAACCTACATTTAAAAACAGCAGCAAGCCAACCTTTGGTGAGCCAGCAGCACAGACTTAGCAGGCCCCAGGTTTGCTGCACGAGGAGAACGAGAGGAGTAGAGGCTGGAGCCTGCTCCTGAGGGTTCCCTGTTCAGCAGACGAGCACAGGACCTGTGCCTGTGAAGCCCCGGAGGATTCGGGAGAACAACTAGCAAACCCCGTATGTGCCTGTGGGTGGGGAGGAACTTGAGATTTGATCGTGGATTGTGACTCCCAGTCCCTGCTCTAGGTGCCCTGGGGTGAGGCATGGAAATCTCCATAGTCTCTAGTCTTCTAGAAAGTAAAGAGGGCACACTAGGTGCTTTCTAAGGTATCACCAGGCTTCTGTATCAGTGTTGGGCCATTCCCAGAAATGGACATGAAAACAGAGAGGTAGGTGCCAGAGCTAAGGAGAAGCAAACACAACAGAAAAGACAGACATGAAAAACAGACATTTCAGCAACCTTTACCTTCCCAAAGAAAAGGTAGGGCTGGGCGCAGTGGCTCACGCCTGTAATCCCAGCACTTTGAGAGGCTGAGGCGGGCAGATCACGAGGTCAGGAGATTGAGACCATCCTGGCCAACATGGTGAAACCCCATCTTTACTAAAAACACAAAAAATTAGCTGGGCGTGGTGGCGGGCGCCTGTAGTCCCAGCTACTCGGGAGGCTGAGGCAGGAGAGTACCTTGAACCAGGGAGTTGGAGGTTGCAGTGAGCCGAGATCGCGCCACTGCACTCCAGGCTAGCGACAGAGCAAGGCTCTGTCTCAAAGGAAAAAAAAATAATAATAATGTAAGCCAGTGGATTACCAAAAACCTTCCTCCCAGAGGTACAGTTTAGAGCCATCTCCTGCCACCTTGCAGGCCATCTGCTGAGAGAGGAGTCAGGCTACAGGCATGTTTGATTTATGCAAGCGTGTACTCAACAACGACAGTAACGGAAATGGATTTTTTCCAAGACCTACATAAAAGCCAATGATTTTGTGTGATGCTTAACCAAAGAAACCACTCTTCCCAACACTGGAGAAGCTGGCTCACTGGTCAGAAGGCTGCAGGATGCCCCAAATAATGCATATCACAGTGATGTAGCTGGTTATTACCTTTGACTTAGACTTTAGAACCTAACTTTCATGGAAGATGCAGTTTCACTAACTATAACACACCTGGCTATTGGGGAGTTACAGTTTCTAGTTCTGAGTGATGACGATGATAATAATAGTAATAATGAGAAACATCCAACATTTGCTGGGTGTTCACAATGTGCTCAGCCCTGTTGTAAATGCTTGACTTGCACTTACTCATTGAACCCTCACGACAACCCTCTAAGGTGGGTTAAATGAGCTGATATTTGCGAAGTGAGTAACCACTTTATGGCTGCTTATTGAAGAAGGAAATAATGGATAAAAATGCCACTTGTATCCTTGTTTTATAGACAAGAAAGCTGAGGCAGAAAATGCTCAGATGCTCTGCTTAGGGTCACGTGGTATATAGGTGAACCTTTTTTTTTTTTTTTTTTTACCCGACCATCTATACCTCTGTTTATTTGTAATGTTGCAGAGGCAGGATGTTTAATCCTGAACTGGGAGGCCCGTGTTGGGCATAGAAGAGCTCAGCTGGTGAGCGCGTTACCCCATAGGCACAGCTCCACGTGGCAGTTGGTTTTCCTTTTTGTGACAAATAACACTGAAAAAGCTAGACTCCAAGAATGTTTGCAACTCAGGATGAAGTGACAGTGAACGGAGCCCTCTATTGCACGGGGTTCTATATTTATACATAGTCTCTGATTCTCAGCTTTCTCGTTTATAAACTGGAGATCAGTACGTGTATCTTGCAGAGAGCTGTTGCAAGGATTCGGGATAATATAACAAAGTGATTGACATGAAGTACGGCCTCAAACAGTTGTTACTGATGCTAGTTTGATTATGGGATACCTAAGATGATTATTTACCTAATGTAGTGGTATTTAACTTTGGGGTAAAGGAGGCCAACAGAGCCTTCATCTTATGAAAGCTGTGGATCTGATGTGCCTATACACATACACACAATATTTTGAACGTGATTTCATAGTAGGGGTGCCAGATAAGATACAGATGTGCCATTCAATGTGGATTTCAGATAAACGATGAATACTTTTTTGGAGGAAGTATATTCCAAATATTGCATGGGTCACATTTATATTAAGACATTTTTCATTGTTTATCTGAAATTGAAATTTAATAACATTTAATACAGCATTCAGTTTTTAACATTTTTGTGGTCACATAATAGTTGAACATATTTGTGGGGTACACATGGTATTTTGATACAAGCGTGAAATGTGCAAAGATCATATCTGCATAACTGGGATATCCATCACCTCAAACATTGATCATTTCTTTGTGTTGGGTACATCCGGTATTTTTATCTGCTAAATCTGGCAACCCTATTTCAGAGACTGCTTTCAGAAGTGATACAGACCATCCCTCTTTCCAAGAGCACACCCACAGAATTCTGCATTTATCTCAGGGCGTCCTGTTCTGTTCAAATACTTGCCAAGATCTGCTGGTACTTACCAGGAGTCTTGGTCTCATTGGGAATCAGGCATCGTACAAAGTGAGGGTGGGTGCTCCTTAAGTTAGTCATCAATTTGTTTAGATTTTCCTGGGACATAAACCAAAACAAGCACATTTAGCAAATGCCATTTCACTGGGCAGAAAAACAATCGGATGTGGAAGCTGCCAAAACACTAACCCTGAACACGGCCGACACAGTCTGGAAAGAGGAGCCCTTCTTCTTCCCGCCCTTCTTGCTTCCCCCGGAGTCGCCTAGAGACAGACACAGAAGGGCATGTCAGATGTATCCCAGAGGACCCAGGAGTGGGATTCCTGAACCACCCCTTCCCAGTCCCGGGTTCTGGTTTCCTTTTGACATGAGAGACCTGAGGTTTTGTTTCTTTGTTTGTTTTAGACAGAGTCTCACTCTGTCCTCCAGGCTAGAGTACAATGGCACAGTCTCGGCTCACTGCAACCTCCACCTCCCAGGTTCAAGCCATTCTTCTGCCTCAGCCTCCCAAGTAGCTGAGACTACAGGCACGCACCACCACACCTGGCTAATTCTTGTATTTTTAGGAGAGACAAGGTTTCACCACGTTGGCCAGGCTGGTCTTGAACTCCTGACCTCAGCCTCCCAAAGCGCTGGGATTACAGGTGTGAGCCACCATGCCCGGCCTGTTAGTTTGTTTTTAAAATGCTTCCAAACTACCCAGGATTGAGAACCCTCAGCTTTATCATTGTGGGAACGAGGTGGGAGTGGGGTGTGGGTAGTATTTAATTGAGAGGATAACTTAAACTCTCAGTATAAAAGGGGAGTCCTTTCCTTTAGAAATCAGACCTGAAAGCAAACTGAATAATTCACAAGATTGAGATGTCCCTCTTAATGTTTGTGGTTTCCTTCTTTCTTTTCTTTTTTTTTTCTTTTTTTGTTGTTTGTTTGTTTTGTGACAGAGTCTCACTGTGATGCCCAGGCTCCCTGCAACCTCTGCTTCCCGGGTTCGAGCGATTCTCCTGCCTCAGCCTCCCAAGTATCTGGGACTACAGGCGAGCATCACCATATCCGGCTAATTTTTATATTTTTAGTAGAGATGCGTTTCACCATATTGGCTAGGCTGGTCTTGAACTCCTGACTTCAAGTGATCCTCCCGCCTTGACCTCCCAAAGTGCTGGGATTATGGGTGTGAGCGACTGTGCCTGGCAATGTTTGTAGTTGATTTCACGAATTTACCTCCTTTTCTTCTTTAATCCCTGTTTATCTCTAAATGAGTAAGTAACTGAAAGTAGTAACACGGAATTTTCTCAAGAATATTTTATAAGTTGATTTTTTTTTCTTTCCTAAAGGAAACAACTCAACTTACCATCTTAATTTGGAGTCTACTTTTTCCGAATGACTCAATTTTCTCTGATACTTAATCAAGATGTAGCCTTGGGGGGAAAATGCCGTGTCTCGGTCTCCCCCGTCTTCCTTTCCCTTCACCCCACTTTTTCCCCGGGGTCTAGCATGAATGTGTGTTTGGATCGGGGAAGGGAAGGCAGGAAAGCTGCTTCCCCAAATCCACATCCACACAGGGTCTTATGTTAGATTTGATGTTATATCTAGGTGAGTTTATGCAATGTAATTACAGAGAGATTGTGATCAGATTCAAAGAAAATGATTTTCATCATTGAGGTTTACGTATGTGCCCATTTCCCATTTATTACATTCCCTTGCCCAGAGGATATTAGGCTTTCATTTTTAAAAAATGATCTCATTGTCTAATGAATAATTATATTTCATATATTGTATTAATTTATTAAATGTATGCATTTAAAATGGCATATAATGTTAAAACTCTATGTTGGTAACTATTTAAAAGTATATTTACTGGTAATCTTAAAAAGTGATACTGGCTTGTGTTACTTGTTTATTTATTTGAGATAGGGTCTCACTCTGTCATCTAGGCTGGAGTGCAGTGGCACAGTCATGGCTCACTGTAATCTCAGTGACCCAACCTCATGTGATCCTCCCAGCTCAGGTTCCCAAGTAGCTGGACTACAGGTGTGCACCACTATTTCTGGCTAATTATTTTATTTTATTTTGTTTTGTTTTGTTTTAGAGACAGGATCTCTATGTTGCCCACACTGGTCTTGAACCCCTGGCCTCAAATGATCCTTCCGCCTCAGCATCCCAAACTACTGGGATTACAGGTGTGAGCCACCACACCTGGCCCCTGTGTAGCCACTTTGGAAAGGAGTTCAGAAGTTACTCAAAACTTTGAACACAGTTGTCATATGACCCAGCAACTGTACTCCTAGGTACTGTATATACCCAAAAGAATTGCCAATATATCTTCACATATAAACTTCTATACAGATGTTCATAGCAACATCATGCACAGTAGCCAAAAAGTTCATCGGCTGATGAATGTGCAGACACAATGTGATCTATTCATACAATGAACTATTATTTGTCCGTCGGAAAGAACAAAGTCTTGATACATCTACAACACGAACAGACCTTGAGAACAGTAGCCTGAGCGAAAGAAGCCAGACACAAAAGAGCATCCAGTATATAATTCAGTTTACACAAAATGCCCAGAGAGGCAAATCTACAGAGAGAGAAAGTTGATGAGTGGTTGCCAGAAGCTAGGAATAGAAATCTGCTCATGGGGACGGATGCGGTGGCTCACGCCTCTAATCCCAGCACTTTGGGAGGCCGAGGCGGGCGGATCATGAGGTCAGGAGATCAACACCATCCTGGCCAACATGGTGAAACCCTGCCTCTACTAAAATACAAAAAATTAGCCAGGTGTGGTGGTGCATGCCTGTAGTCCCTGCTGCTTGGGAGGCTGAGGCAGGAGAATCTCTAGAACCTGGGAGGCGGAGGTTGCAGTTTCACCTTATTGGCCAGGCTGGTCTCAAACTCCTGACCTCAAGTGATCGGCCCCGCCTTGGCCTCCCAAAGAGCTGGGATTACTGGCCTGAGCCACCGTGCCCGGCCAAAACCACTACATGGTTTTAAGGGGGAATTTTATTATACGTGAATTATACCTCAATAGAAAACTATTAAACAATGTGATGTTGACTATCGTGGCCACTGAGAAGTCCTGTTTTCCTCCATAGAGCTCTATCTCTGACAGAAGAGGAAGAATAAGAGCAGGAGGAAGAAAAATGGAGCTGAAAGACAGAAACATCATACTCAGCTGAAGCTCAGGTCTGAAGTTCAGCTGAAGCTTGAACCTGGGAGGCAGAGGTTGCAGTGAGCCAAGACCGCACCACTGCACTCCAGCCTAGGTGACAGAGTGAGACTCCATCTCAAAAAAAGAAAAAAAAAAGTTAATGTCCACTCCTGTTTTCATAGTAACATCCCTCCAAGATTCTTCACGAGCAGCTCTGGGTTAGAAGTAATTACACAGAACGTCCCACAGAGGGAAAGAAATGATAGAATTTTACCTGTGTCTGCACCAGCATAGTTGGAAAAAAGGAAGGAGAGAAGCTTCAGCGAAGACTTCTGGTACAGCCCCACCACAGTCTCATTCAGGGGGTCCTTGTTCTTGTCGAGCCAGCCGGCAATGTTGTAGTCCACGGTGCCGGCGTAGTGCACCAGCGAGAAGTGAGCCTCAGCCTTGCCTTTGGCAGGCTTGGGCTTCTGGAAGTTGTTGGATTTTCCAAGATGCTGGTCATACAGCTTGTTCTTGAAGGAGGTGTCTGTTGCCTTGGGGAACATGCACTCCTCTTCCAGGATGGAGAAGATGCCCATAGGCTGGAAAGAGGATAACAGAGTCTATACATCCACATATACTAGTGCGTACCCATGCTCCATGGTCTGGAGAAGCCAAAAGAACTTCTTTGGTGCTTTCACTCCGGTACTAGGAATGCTGGCATGTATGCTCTGGGGGAGCAAGTCTCTTGGTCTGTTTGGGGGATGACTAGAAAGTGCTAGGCATCAAGTGTGTGCTTCATTAATAGCTGCTGAACAAAAGAATATAGGATGAAATTATGTGTGTATAAATGTAGCACACTTTTTTCAATAGGTTTACAAAAAAAGTAAAGTTTCATAGATAGCCATAAAGTCATGTGAGTAGTATTTTGAACAATAATGTCTCAATTTCTCAGTAGCCACCTTAGGAAGATATACTCATTCCAACATGAGCAGTGCTCCAATGGTATGAGAATTCCTTTTTAAAAAGTTAATGTCGGCCGGGCATGGTGGCTCACGTCTGTAATCCCAGTACTTTGGGAGGCTGAGGTGGGCGGATCACAAGGTCAGGAGTTCGAGACCAGCCTGGCCAACATGGTGAAACCCCGTCTTTACTAAAAATACAAAAAAAAAATTAGCCGGGCGTGGTGGTGGGCACCTGTAGTCCCAGCTATTCAGGAGGCTGAGGCAGGAGGATCGCTTGAACCTGGGAGGCAGAGGTTGCAGTGAGCCGAGACCGCGCCACTGCACTCCAGCCTAGGTGACAGAGCAAGACTCCATCTCAAAAAAACAAAAAAAAGTTAATGTCCACTCCTGTTTTCATAGTTACATCCCTCCAAGAGCTACACTGCTGCACGGTTCTACCTCCTTGGGTCTTTGGGTAAGTCAAATAGGTAAGAAATGCCACAGTCCTTACTGGGGTTCTATCACATTCTTGCAGATAACTGAGCCCTTGGATTTTAATGACCCATAAACCTTTTTAAGTGTCAGAACAGATTTAGGACATTCATTCTCTTTGCACAAAGACATTCAGTGATCTTTCTGAAGGCTTGCAGCCTGGGGGCTGGGGGCACCAATCTGTGAGCAGAAAAGAATCAGAGTAAGAAGGGGAGGGTCCCCACCAAGGAGGAGCTGTCCTGGGGAGCAGTATTTCTCTACCTTCTCGATGAGCTCGATGCAGGCAGCCAGGTCCATCCCGAAGTCAATGAACTCCCACTCGATGCCTTCCTTCTTGTACTCCTCCTGCTCCAGCACGAACATGTGGTGGTTGAAAAACTGTTGCAGTTTCTCGTTGGTGAAGTTGATGCACAGCTGCTCCAGGCTGTTGAACTGGGTGATTCAAACACCAAAGAATTTGAGTGACCTTGGAAAATACATTGGAGATTCAGCAAAGCAGACAAGAAAGTAGAAGGCCACAACTCACATCAAAGATCTCAAAGCCAGCAATGTCCAAGACCCCGATGAAGTACTGCCTGGGCTGCTTGGTGTCCAGCTGCTGGTTGATGCGGGTGACCATCCACAGGAACATCTTCTCGTAGACAGCTTTGGCCAGAGCACCCACCGAGTTGGTCACCTTGAAAAAGGATCACCCACTCAACCCTTGAGTTAGTGTTTCTATGGCTGCATTAAGTTGAAACATATGAAATTGACTTGAAAATCAAAAGCTGTTGGCTGGACATGGTGGCTCACGCCTGTAATCCCAGCACTGTGGGAGGCCGAGGTGGGCAGATCATGAGGTCAGGAGATCGAGGCCATCCTGGCCAACATGGTGAAACCCCGTCTTTACTAAAAATGCAAAAATTAACCAGGTGTGGTGGCATGTGCCTGTAGTTCCAGCTATTCAGGAGGCTGAGGCAGGAGAATCACTTGAACTTGGGAGGCAGAGGTTGCAGTGAGCCAAGATTGCGCCACTGCACTCCAGCCTGCAACATAGTGAGACTCTGTCTCAAAAAAAAAAAAAAAGAGAAAAGAAAAAAAGAAAATCAAAAGCAGTTGAATATTGGCAATTTCATTCAACATAATATTAAATATTTTGTGAGGTGTTTGCCCAGCCCACGCTGTTCCCCTTTCTTTGAGAACTATCCTATTTACAAAGATATTTTTCCAACAACGTGGTTATAGCACATGACTCCAGCCCCTGGCCACACTTAATTAGACCAGAGGTGAACACTTGATCCAGGTTGGATTAATTGAGTATCTCTCCTAAGAATTTGGAATTGGGATCAAAAGATGCTGGTTTCAGTCTCAGGGTGAAGCTGGAAACACAGAGATATAAACTTGGGAGCTATGGGGTGGCCACAGGCAAGAGAGGTCCAGGAAACTTATCTGCTTAGCAAGGACACAACAGAGGAGAGAGTCAACAGCCCATGAACCCCAGAGGAGCTGGAGGGAGGCTGCCTGGCTCCAGAGGGCTCTTCACTTTCTAATTCCAGGTCCTCATGGCGTCCAATGGGCACTCAATGATTTGCATTCCTTCAATTGCCTCTGAAGCCTAAAAATGATTTTTCTCTTAATGTGAAAGCTGGTTTCATGTGCATTTCTGATACCTGCAACTGAAAGAACTTTAAAACAATGGCTCAAATAACAAAAGATCTCAATCAACCGGATCAGAGCATCTCCATTACCTGCTGGACATTTTGCCCTTTAGTGACATATTCATTCCCAACCTTCACCCTTGGACAGCACAGGCCCTTCAGCATTTCTGCAGAATTCAGTCCCATCAGGTATCCGGCTTTGTCAGCCACTGAAGGAAGAGAAAAGAAATGGCATCATGCAAAAACAGTAGCTGCTAGTGTCCAGTCAGCCCCTGGCTTCTCCCAGAAGTGTTTTCTGTCATTATCTTAGATGTTTTCATGTTGTCGTACCTGTACCAGGTCTGGACTTGTTCACTGAAGCTTCAGTCCCATAGTCCGGGGCCCCATGGTTCTCAAGAACTTCCAATTTGCCTCCTAGATGCAACTTTTTTTTTTTTTTTTTTTTTTTTTTTGAGACGGAGTCTCGCTCTGTCGCCCAGGCTGGAGTGCAGTGGCTGGATCTCAGCTCACTGCAAGCTCCGCCTCCCGGGTTTACGCCATTCTCCTGCCTCAGCCTCCCGAGTAGCTGGGACTACAGGCGCCCGCCACGTTGCCCGGCTAGTTTTTTGTATTTTTTAGTAGAGACGGGGTTTCACTGTCTTGGCCAGGATGGTCTCGATCTCCTGACCTCGTGATTCGCCCTTCTCGGCCTCCCAAAGTGCTGGGATTACAGGCTTGAGCCACCGCGCCTGGCCCTAGATGCAACTTTTAACAATAAGAAGCTTCTTGGCCAATCCTGACCTACTAATATTTTGATTTCATTAAAAAAATGTTAATTACAGGCCGGGCACAGTGGCTCATGCCTATAATCCCAGCACTTTGGGAGGCTGAGGCGGGTGGATCACCTGAGGTCAGGAGTTCGAGACCAGCCTGGCCAACATGGCGTTGTCTGTACTAAAAATACAAAAATCAGCCTGGCATAGTGGCGAGCGCCTGTAATCCCAGCTGCTCAGGAGGCTGAGGAAGAAGAATCGCTTGAACCCGGGAGGTAGAGGTTGCAGTGAACCGAGATCATGCCATTGCACTCCAGCCTGGGTGACAAGAGCAAGACTCCGACTCAAAAAAATAAAAATTAATTACATAGTTATGTTGGAGTCTGACAATACATTAAAATATTATATGAGTAAAGGAGCCACCACTTGGACAGTTGACAATATATATGAGGCACCTTCCTAATTTAAGCAAAGTACCATGCTCATAGTTGAAAGAGAAGTACAAAACCTGACCCTGCCTTCAAATGTTTGGAGATGGTCAAAAGCAGTTGATTTTTGGCTGTTTCCTACAGATCATGGGTTACATGTCTGCATATATTTCAGCAGATGTTCATTGACTTTGAGAAGGACCTAGTGGCCTGTATTGAGTTCATCAAAAAGGCAGAGAAATGCTGCTCCCCAGGGACTACTTCTTTTTTTTTTTTTTTTTTTTTTTTTTGGAGTTTTGCAATGTTGCCCAGGATGGAGTGCAGTGGTGCAATCTCAGCTCACTGCAAGTTCTGCCTCCCGGGTTCACGCCATTCTTCTGCCTTGGCCTCCCGATAGCTGGGCTTACAGGTGCACGCCACCACCCCTGGCTAATTTTTGTATTTTAGCAGAGACGGGGTTTCACCGTGTTAGCCAGGATGGTCTTGACCTCTGACCTCAGATGATCCACCCACCTTGGCCTCCCAAAGTGCTGGGATTACAGGCATGAGCTGCAGTGCCCAGCCTGCTCATGACATTTCTTCTGCTTGAACTGATCTCTCCCCCAATTTTTCAGAATCCTACTCATCCCTCAAAGTCCAAGTCAGTGCCCCTTCTATCAGGAAGCCTTCCCTGATTGCCCCAGTCAGAAGTGTTTCCTGTGTGAAGACTTGGAGCCCCCTCCACTGTGATGGGCAGGATTCTAGGATGGCACCCAAGGTGTGCCCCCTGGTGTACATGCCTTGTATAATCTCCTTTACTTGGGTGCAGTGGAACCTGTACAACTCCCATGATGAGGTGACCAATCAGGTGACTCTGAGTTAATACAAAGGGAGAATCATCCCAGGCAGGCCTAGGATAGGAGGCTGCTGAGCCTTTATGGGACACTGATAAGGTTTTGTAGATTTTTCCACCCTTTAATTTATGGCTGCACTTCCTTTTTATTACTTGAGAGTTTAAAGCGTACTGCTTCACACACCGTGGGGCTGTGATCAAAAGGCAGAATTATCAGGAACCATTCATGTTGCCAGGTTTTAATTCAAGGAACTTGTAAGATGCATCACGAGCGCTAAGAAGTCTAATGAGCAGGATGTATCGGGTCGGGGGGGGGGGGGGGGGGGGAGTCAGTCACCGCTCAGCCGTTCCTGCTGCCCTCTGCTCTAGTTCCAGGCCTCTTAGGGATGAGGCAGAGGGTGGCGGTAGGATCAGCCAGGTGAGAGTTACGGGGAGGAAGAACTGTTCACCATTCTTGGTTCAGGGCCAATTTCAACAGATGCTGGGGTGCAGGTGATGGGAGGAAGAAAACTTGGTTTCCACTTTACCATATCATTTTAGGCCTGAGTGATGAAGACTGCATTCTGGTGGAGAGAAAGAGGAGTTCACCTAACAATATTGTCTCATGAGAGTCCACTTAAAAAAAACAGGCACATCACGCCTGTAATCCCAGCAGTTTGGGAGGCCGAGGCAGGCGGATCACGAGGTCAGGAGATCGAGACCATCCTGACTAACATGGTGAAACCCCGTCTCTACTAAAAAATACAAAAAAATCAGCCGGGCATGGCGGCGGGCGCCTGTAGTCCCAGCTACTCGGGAGGCTGAGGCAGGAGAATGGCGTGAACCCGGGAGGTGGAGCTTGCAGTGAGCCGAGATGGCGCCACTGCTCTCCAGCCCGGGCGGCAGAGCGAGACTCCGCCTCAAAAAAAAAAAAAAAAAAAAAAAAAAATCCTTGTTTTTCAAGGATTCACCCTCTGAGTCCTTGACTGAGTGAGCAGACTCCTGGTGCATGCTACAGTGAGCTTCCAGAAACCTAGATTTGATTTATACAGTTTGGAAGAATAACTCTTGAAGAGTCCTTGACTGAGTGAGCAGACTCCTGGTGCATGCTACAATGAGCTTCAGGAAACCTAGATTTGATTTATACAGTTTTGGAAGAATAACTCTTGAAATGAATGCAGTTTATCTCACATGGCCTCGCCCACACGCGAACACAGGGGGACCCAATCGCATCCCTTTCCCGGATGCGGTTACCTTCGGTGCCGTCCGGCTCCGCCTGCTCCTCACGCTGCTTCTGCTTGAACTTCATGTTCCCATAATGCATCACGGCTCCCGTCAGTTTGTAGATCCCAACTTTCTCCTCTGAGCTGAAGCCCAGGATGTCAATGGCATTCTGGAAAGAAAAAAAGGACAATTGTCATAGTAAGACTCAGGGATCCATATGCAGCCTCTTCTTGGCAAAGACCTTACCTCTTTTTTGTATAGCATGTGTGACAGCATTTGCCCAAATAAGTGGATGACAGGTGGGGTGTGGTAAATTAGAAACCATTTGTTTCACATGTTTGTGTGGGTGGATGGAGACTATGGGAAAAAGGTGCGAATTGTCTGTTTCCTTCCATCAAGTAAGAACCGATTACGGCCGGGTACGGTGGCTCACGCCTGTAATCCCAGCACTTTGGGAGGCCGAGGCAGGCAGATCACGAGGTCAGGAGATCGAGACCATCCTGGCCAACGTGGTGAAACCCCCATCTTTACTAAAACTAGCTGGCCATGGTGGCCGGTGCCTGTAGTCCCAGCTACTCAAGAGGCTGAGGCAGGAGAATCACTTGAATCCGAGAGGCAGAGGTTGGAGTGAGCCAAGATTGCACCATTGCACTCCAGCCTGGGAGACAAAGCGACACCCAAAAAAAAAAAAAAAAAAAAAAAAAAAGGCAGGGCGCGGTGGCTCAAGCCTGTAATCCCAGCACTTTGGGAGGCCGAGGAGATCGAGACCATCCTGGCTAACACAGTGAAACCCCGTCTCTACTAAAAATACAAAAAAATAGCGAGGCGTGGTGGCGGGCGCTTGTCCCAGCTACTCGGGAGGCTGAGGCAGGAGAATGGAGTCAACCCGGGAGGCTGAGGTTGCAATGAGCGGAGATTGCGCCACTGTACTCCAGCCTGGGTGATAGAGCAAGACTCCGTCTCAAAAAAAAAAAAAAAAAAAAAGAAAAAGAAAAGAAAAGAAAAGAAAAAGAAGAGAACTGATTATGATCTTTTCGCACTGTACATAGATTTGGGGGGCAGTTCTGGATGAGGCTACTGGGAACCACTGTATGATACTGAGAACTGGGAATGTCATGGAGAATGACTGGGAAATAATGTTCAACAGCTTAAGAGTTCGGCATTGTAATCCAGAAATTCCAGCATTGTTCGGACTCAAGACAATCAATATGCATCATAGAATATTAGATCTGGAAGGGAAGATCATCAAAGATGGTATCATCATTTCCCAAATGAGAAAGGGGCAAGCTTTTGCAGAGCCCTTTCTATGTGCTAGACATTGGGTAGGCATCATCTCTATGTTCTTATTAAATCCCCATGAATCCCCTTTCTTTAGTTGTGCAGGTTTTTCCAAATTTCTGGATGAAGAATTGAGGGTCTAGTTGGTAAGCAGCCTGTCAAAAGTCATACAGGGAGGCTGTGATAAGACTGGGACTGGAGTTAGGTCTCGGTCCCTTCAAAATCTATGGTCATTGCTGGTTTGGTTTTATAACTACGTTGCCTGTCTTCCACCACAAAGGTTTCAACTAAAAGAAATCCTTCTCTGGGGTTCACATATTGATTATGCAGTAGAGTTTGCAGCATGAGCCTGTAGAGTGTCTGCTGGTAGGACTGAAACATGTCTGGACATGTTTGGTGAGTGGATAGGATAGACCCAGTAGGCCAACACCAGCATGATGATATTGGAGAGTCAGGCATTCTTGGAGTGGCACCCCCTTTTAGTGGAGAATGAGCCTATGCCAGGAGCTGGGATATATGGGGAGGAGAGATTCCGATGGCCATCCCTTGAATCCATATCCCATTTCAGGGATGCATATCTCTGTCCTAGGGAGGGGTCATTGTAGGTTAAAAGAGAGAACTCTTTCAAAAACATTGAAAGGAGCAGGTGAAAGCATTACTGCCTAGGGACCCTTTTGGAGAATGTCATGTCACTCCAGCCTGGGCGACAGAGTGAGACTCTGTCTGAAAAAAGAAAGAAGAGAAGAAAGAAGGAAAGAAGGAAGGAAAGAAGAAAGAAAGGAAGAAAGAAAGGAAGAAAGAGAGAGAAAGAAAGAAAGAAAGAAAGAAAGAAAGAAAGAAAGAAAGAAAGAAAGAAAGAAAGAAAGAAAGAAGAAAGAGAGACAGGAAGGAAGGAAGGAAAGAGAGAGAGAGAGAAAGGAAGGAAGGAAGGTAGGAAGGAAGGGAAAGACTCTGTCACTGATGAACTGTGTCTTCCAGAAAATTATATATATTTTAAGAGTCAGCTTCCACATTTATAAAATGGAGACGATAATGACACCTACACCAGAGTTGCTTTTGAGACTATAATGAGATAATGCAGGTAAAGCCACTTATCTCAGTGTCTGGCACATGTAAGTGCTCAATATATTTAGTTATTACTGTTATTATGATTATTGATCCTGCAGGTACTTCCCCCAAATAAACACCACAGGCCAGACAGGTGTATTGAGGAGCTGGGTGTCTAAGGTGAGCCTAAAGTGAAAGGCAGAAAGAAAAATGGGGAGGCTGTTACAGAGTAGGGTTGATTTTCTGCTTTATACTTTTTTATATTTTCTAAATTTTCTTGAAGAACCATGTAGACGGTTTTGCAACATGAAAACTTTCAACAAATGTTATGTTGAAGATCTTATAAACGCAAAAATGCATTCTAGTTAAAATGTTAGAGAACAGAACTGACGGCCTGCTTTGGTGAACCTTCTGGATTCCCATTTTGGAATGCTGTGAGGTGGAGCTGAGTAGGGAGGGGCCAATCTGTGCTAATTCTCTGAGCTCTTGATCTCTGAGATCTTGAGTCTAATCACTTAGTATCCCTGGATTTCAGCTTTCCCATTAGCTCACTAACGTGTCTCTCAGTTCATAAACTCAATAATTCTGTGCATAAACAGACAAATAAATGGCATGCTTACATCGGTCGCCAGCAGTTCTTCACTGTCATCGATACTGGCCACTGTGACTTCTCCTTGGCTCACGAAGGGGAAGTCGAAGGGGTTGGTGGAGATCAGAAGCAAGTCTGTGGAACACAGAGATCCCTTTAATGGCTTATGCATAACTTACTCTGGGTTTTTTTTTCCCCCCAATGTCACTGATGTGGAAGATAAGAAAGGTATTCCAAGAGCTTACCAATTAGTTCTGGCTTCTTGTTTGACAAAATTTGGTAGAAAATATGATAGCTTCTCTCACTGGATAATTGAAATGTCACTCTGGATTTTTCTAACAGATCTAAGGTAACAAAAATAACGTGATTTCAGGTTCTCAGGTGGTGCTTTTGTGGCCAAAACACCAACAGTTTTATAGTGTCTGGACTCACAGGTTTCGATGTCTGCCGATGCCAGCTTTCCTGTGGCTCCAAAATGAATCCGAATGAACTTCCCCTGTCCAATAACAGGTGGACAAACGTTACAGTTATTTGATTTATATGGTTTTTGTGGCTGGCCTTGGATAGGTGCTGCCACAGATAAATTATAAATGCAAAAATGCTAGAGAACAGAACTGAAGGCCTGCTTCAGTGAACCTTCTGGATTCCCATTTTGGAATGCTGTGAGGTGGAGCTGAGTAGGGAGGGGCCAGTCTGTACTAATTCTCTGAGCCCTTGATCTCTGAGATCTTGAGTCTAATCACTTAGTATCCCTGGATTTCAGTTTTCCCATTAGCTCACTAACGTGTCTCTCAGTTCATAAACTCAATAATTCTGTCCACAAACAAACAAATAAATGGCATGCTTACATCTGTCGCCAACAATTCTTCACTGTCATTGATACTGGCCACCATGACCTCTCCTTGGCTCAGGAGGAAGGGATGCCAGAACATGGGCACCTCTCCACCTGGTGCCCAGAGCTGCCAAGCTGGGTCAGCCAGGACTCAGGTAGCTCTACCCAAGCACCTGGTCCTGTTCCTACAACCCAGGGGATGCCCATAGGCTCCTTCTCCGGCTCTCTTCTTGGGACTACTTCATTCTTGACTACCTGCCTGTTTTTTATCCTGCTCTCTTATACCTGGATTCTTGAATCTTCATAACGCCTTTGAATTCTAACTGGTCGGATTGTTCTGTCTGACTTTTTTTTTTTTGCTTGTATTTTAGTAGATGCTACTTCTGAGATTTCTTGCCTGAGTTTCACGTATGGCTGACTACAGACAAATCTAGCTCACAGGCCCGGGCTCAGGCTCAGGCCTGGCTCTCTGGCTGCCAAAAGAACAACTCAGGGTCTAGGTGGTCCACTTTCTGGGGAGTGGGAGGTAAAATTTCATATGCGTGTTTGTGTGTATGCACCTGCTTCATACATTATCTGCTTAATTGGTCCTCAGCGACACTGCGAGCAAATTTGAGGACAAAAAAAATGTTTTCTTGCTTGTTCCCCTACAGCAATGGGTGAACTGAAACGTGGATGATACTTAGTAATGCCTCAATATTTTCTGAATGAACCCTAGGAAAAGTTAGCGAAGGATCAGTAAAGGCATGCATGCATTGTGAGTGCTGGGTGTTAAGTATTTTTAGCTGCTTAATGGAAGACAATGGAAGTCATCCCTAGCCTGCAAATATTTGGAGGGTGGAAAGAGGACAAAATAATTAGAATGATTGTGACTTCTGGGTCAGGGCTAAGAGTAGAGGCCCATGAACTCAGTAAATGGGAATGAGAAGAGGGAGTGCCTGAAGGTATCGGCTTTCACGTTAAGCTGGTATCAAGCCAGTGCAATAACTAACTTGGTCCAGGCATGGGTAACATACCTCTGCCATGTAACATGTGCCCAGACCTTCCACAAGGGAGAGGAGTTTATTTGGGCACCGGGGAGGATACACATGCAGATTGGCAGTGCAAAGCACATATCCAAGGAAACAAAAGTCAAGGCTCAGAGCCATGGTACTTGATAAGTGTATGTACTTCCTCATCGATAACCATTTTATCTTTGAGGGGGGACAAAATACAAGTTTGAGACTATCCAACTACTAAGATGTGTGAAATGTTAATGTACTTTTGCAACCATAGGCACAAATGATGGCTTCGCCTCTGAGTACTTGCTCCACTGGCCAGTGAAATGAAATAGAGGGTTGGATGTATATTTATTTCCAATGGGAAGTAAATGTCTTTTTGATTAAGCCAATCCTAAGTAAAAAGTTGAAGGATGGCACACATCCTTCAATGTCTTCAGTATGAATCTATTCCATCTTTTTTTTTTTTTTTTTTTTTTTTTGAGACAGAGTTGCCTTCTGTTGCCCAGTCTGGAGTGCAGTGTTGCAATCTCAGCTCACTGCAACCTCCGCCTCCCGGGTTCAAGCAATTCTCCTGCCTCAGCCTCCCAAGTAGCTGGGATTACAGGCAGGCACCACCATGCCCAGCTAATTTTTTGTATTTTTAGTAGAGATGGGGTTTCACCATGTTGGCCAGGCTGGCTCGAACTCCTGGCCTCAAGTGATCCACCCACCTCAGCCTCCTAAAGTGCTGGGATTACAAGCGTGAGTCACCGTGTCCAGCCTATTTAAAATTTTTGAGCTCTTTTGCCTTCACTAGGTTTTCCATGCTCCCAATCCCTGCTGAGTTGGAAGAGGTCAAATCTGCTAACTTAATTCACACTAAGGTTTTCGTGGCTAGGTCAATAGATATGGCTTAATGGATGTTTACATTTTAAAATGTTTCCACACAGAGAGACCCATTTTAGCATAAAGTTGATCTCTAATTGTGGGATGTGAATCATGTGAGTGACTTCAGGATGCTGTGAGGTGACATTGCCTAGTTAGGGTAGGACGGCAAATCCTCCCTCTGCCGGGGCCAAACCAACACCTTCCTCAAAGTGTATCAAAATATTCCCGGTGGGTAGACTGATCTGAATCACTTGGCGGTAGAAAAAGGCCCCCGTATATTCTAGTTTATGAGGCAGTTTTTCATATTCAGCATTTCAGGAGAGGGTGTGGTTTTGGGAGGATACTTGAAAATTGGGCTGGTTCTTACAAATCTTGAGGAGTTGTCATTCCTCACAGTCTTGGCATTTCCAAAGGCCTCCAGCAGCGGGTTGGCTTGGATAATCTGATCCTCCAGGGTTCCCTAATCACAAACAAGAAGAGGAAAAAGAGGGCTTTGGATGGTTTTCTAAAGCAGCTCCTTGGTGAATACAACTGTGGGTGCTCTGGGCAGGTTCAGGGAGAGGTGTCGACCAGCTCCACCTGGTGGTCAGTGCAGTACCTACACCCCCACCCCCACCAGACCTAAGGCGTCTTCAAGGTGCCATCCTAGACAGGCTTTTATTAGCATAGCGTCGAAGGGACTTCCGGTCATGCCAGGTTCTAGGCAGGAATATTAATCCCTCCATCAGAACATCCAGACTGCCTTTCTGATAACATTTCATTATAAATGATAGATTTTAATAACACGTACCTCTGTTATTGCATGTAATATGACCCATCTAGTATCACAGATATTTGTGTTCAAAAGGAGATATAGAATGTGAGTAAAGCAAGTGATCCAAGAGATAATACAATAAAAGCAGTGGTTCTCAAAAAGGTTTTTTATGTACCAAAAAATATGAGAATGATTATTCAGAAATCCACTCTAGAAAGCAGAGTTCTCACCTTCACCCTTCTGGGCCCAGAAAAACTTAAAAAATACTGTCAAACCTAACGGTTCTCAAAGTGTGGTCCCTGGACCAGCAGCATGAACACTACCTGGGAATATGGGAGAAATGCCAGGTGTGGTAGCTCACGCTTGTAATTAGCACTTTGGGAGGCTGAGGCAGGAGGATTACTTGAGGCCAACGGTCTGATACCACCCTGGGCAACATAGTGAGACTCCATCTCTACAAAAAATTAAAAAATGAGCCAAGCATGGTGGTTCCTGTAGTACTAACTACACAGGAGCCTGAAGCAGGATGATCACTTGAGCCCAGGAGCTTGAGGTTACAGTGAGCTATGATGGTGTGCCACCGTACTCCAGCCTGGGTGACAGAGTGAGACCGTGTCTCTACAAAATAAAAAGGAAGAAAAATGCAAACTATGAGGTCCCACCGTAGATCTACACAATCAGGAATTCTGGGCCTGGGCTCTTCCACCCTTTGTTAAGAATCCCTCTTGCTGATTCTGATGTGTACTCCAATTTGAAAACCACTGGTGTAAATATTCTTTCTCCAGAGGAGGATGTGGAGTTGGTCAAGGTCCCTCAGCTGTCGCTGATGGAGCTGGTGCCAGAACTCAAGTCCATTCTGGTGGAACCACTTCCTGCTTTGCTCCATGTGATACTGTGATATAATAGGAATGGTATATTTTGGTCTTTTTCCAGTTTCCTGGCACACAGCTCCTAAAACCCTTGGAATATCTGAAGGGATAAATGTCTTTTTGTGTGCTGATGAGATGATTGGTGGCTTCGGGGTCCTGGAAAGCTCAGGATGGGGGCTGGTTGCCAGGGAACCAACCATGTGTGATTAGAGGGTTGGAACTTTCAGTCCTATCCCTGACCCCGGGAAGGGAAAAAGGGCTGGAGGTTGAGTCAGTCATCAATGGCCAGTGATTTAATGAATCATGCTCGTGTAATGGAGCCTCTGTAAAAACCCTACACAGAAGGCTTCAGAGAGGTTCCAGGTTGATGAACACCTGGGGGTGCTGGGAGGATGTCACCTGCAGAGACTATGCCCCTCCCCCATACCTTGCCCTAGACATCTTTTCCACTTGGCTTTTCAACTGCATCCTTTGTAACATCCTTTATAACAAACTGGCATATGTACGCAAAGTGTTTCTCTGAGTTCTGTGAACCCTTCTAGGTAATTAGCAAACCTGAGAAGGGGGTTGTGAGATTCCCCTGATGAATAGCTGCTTGGTTAGAAGTTCAGGAGGCCCGGACTAGTCCCTGGTATCTAAAGTGGGGGCAGTTTTGCAGGACAGAGCCCTTAACTTGTGGGATTTGATGCTTTCTCTAGGTAGTGAGTATCAGAATTGAATTGAATTGTAGGACACCCAGTTGGTGTCTGCAGAGAATTGGAGAATTGTTCGACATGGGAAAACCCCATACATTTGATGTCAGATGTGTTCTGTGTGAGGATACAGAGAGGAAAGAAAGGGTTTTTCCTATTTGCCATCTCTGCTGAGCACATACCCTGCATACACTTGGTGCTCATCCAGGCTTTAAATGACACTTATTCCAATAAAGCCTCCAGATGCAGGTGGCTGCTCACCTGCATTTTGCCTGGCTGTGTCTCCTTCTTCTTGTCCCCAGTAACTGCAATTGTTGCAAAATACTGGATGACACGCTTGGTGTTCACAGTCTTCCCAGCCCCGGATTCTCCGCTGCCAATTTAAAAGTAAATGGGATAAAGGAGAGTGGCAGGGAGGGCACTGGTTTCCAAGACATGATGGTGCAAACAGGGGTTACTCACGTGATGAGGATAGACTGGTTGTCTCGATCTAGAAATGCAGAGGGAAGCAAAACAAAACAAATAAACAACAAACAGAACATTAAAATAAAGTAACACTGGGGGAGGTTGGAGAACATGGGCTCTAGTTAATGTCTCTGCCATTAACCAGTGGTGTGATTTGGGCATGTCTAATCTTCTTTGGGACAATTTAGGCAGATTTCTCAAATGTGGAATGTGTAACATGACCAGCCTGGGAGGTAAGTGATTCTCCACTCACTGTGGTGAATCCCACAGTGTAGAAGTTACTCATGGTCATAGATCTTTAACTCCCTGCTAGCACTTTCCCATCATCCTTTTCCATAAAGAAAGCAAGTGTCAGGTTCAGATCTTGTGGGGCCACAGCTTTTCATTAACATTTATAGATGCTGATTGGTTTTATTGCATTTTTCTTTTACCTTGACTTTCTACTTGTGAAAAGTGATACTGGTTTTTCACTTACAATAGAACGTGGTTTGAACTGTGTCCCCCTAAAATTCATATATTGAATTTCTAACCCCTAGTACCTCAGAATGTGACCTTATTTGGACATAAGATGTAAGGTATTTAGTCAAGATGAGGTCATGCTGGAGTAGGGCAAGCCCCTGATCTACTGTGACTGGTATCCTTATAAACAGAAGAAATTTGGAGACACACAAGCACACAGGGAGAATGTCATATGAAGATTAAGGCAGGAATCAGGGTGATGTTTCTATAAATCAAAAACAACAAAGATTTCTGCTAGCAAACCATAGAAGCTGGGAGAGAGGCATGGGCCAGATTCTCTCTCAGCGTCCTCACACGAACCAATCCTGCTGACACCTTGACCTCGGACTTCTATCGTCTAGAACTGTGAGACAGTACATTTCTATTGTGTAAGCCCCCCAGTCTGTGACACTCTGTTACAGCAGCCGTAGCAAACTAATAGAAATTGTGGTATTAGTCTTCCCTTTAAAATTAATGTAACATTAATTGATTTCAAGAAAAATATTAAGTTTGCAGACATGGCAAGGAATGTGATTGTGAGAAAGAAATGACAGAAGTTTGGGCACCATTGCATTAGATGATTTTTAAGCATCTATAGGTCTCAGATGTGTGCTTCTTTTTTTTTTTTTTTTTTTTTTTTGAGATGGGGTTTCACTCTTGTTTCCCAGGCTGAAGTGCAGTGGCGAGATCTCAGTTCACCACAACCTCCTCTTCCCAGGTGCAAGCAATTCTCCTGCCTCAGCCTCCTGAGTAGCTGGGATTACAGGTGCCCACTACCACGCCTGGCTCATTTTTTATATTTTTACTAGAGACAGGGTTTCATCATGTTGGCCAGGCTGGCCCCGAACTCCTGACCTCAGGTGATCCACCTGCCTCGGCCTCCCAAAGTGCTAGGATTACAGGCGTGAGCCACTGCGCCCGGCCTTGCTTCTAGTATCTGTTCCAAGTCAAGTCAGGTGAAGGCTGAACAGACAGACTTGATATTAGGCATCATGGCATGACAGTGTTACCATGTCTCTACTCCGAAGGTCGTTCTGGAAATTTAAGGAGTTGATGGGGAGACCGAGTTTGGGGAAGAAGGCAGGAACACTGCTTTACCCATTTCTCTGAGTGGCTACCAATATAGTTTCTCTTCAAAGTACACCTGGATTGGGAGTTCCCTGGGGACAAAGGTAGGGCATCTCGTTGCGTTCCACCTTCTCCCAAATAAGCATGAGCTCAGTGTAGCTTCAGCCATAACCACAGGCCTTGTCATGCACTGTGACTGGCAATAGAAGATGTACCCCTTGCTTTTCATCCCCAAATCATTGGACTCTGTGAAGATCACTTTCATTATTGCGCCATTCAGATGACCAATGCCCCTCAAAGGCTTGAAAAATTAATTAAGGATGGCTTCAAAAAATGTGAATCAAAGAAATTACTCACCAGTCAGCATAAACTGATAGGCATTGTCAGAGATGGAGAAGATGTGGGGTGGAGCCTCCTGGCGCTTTTTGCCTCTGTAGGCAGCCACCACCTCGGGGTTGTACACCGGCAGCCACTTGTAGGGGTTGACGGTGACACAGAAGAGGCCTGAGTAGGTCTGCGAAGATCAGAACATTTATCATTTGGATCTTGTTTTTACTCAGAGAGAGACATGAAATGAAAAGGTGTTTACAGACACTCACGTAGATCATCCAGGCTGCGTAGCGCTCTTTGAGGTTGTACAGCACGGCAGGTTCATGCAGGTGAGTCATCATGGCCATATCCTCGATCTTGTCAAATTTGGGAGGGTTCATGGGGAAGACCTGGTCATTGTTCAGAGTGAGCGTCTGGGTATTGAGAGGAAAAGCAGGTAATAAATGGGTGGGCCAAGTACCTGCATTGTACTTTACTGGTGTGGTGGAAGTAGTGAGATATCGTGGAGAAATTACCCCATTGTGATGGATAATTTTGTGGATCCTTTCCATGACCAGACATGATCCATAAATAACAGTTCTTGAAGAATCTGTTTCTGGTCAAACTACGTGACCAATTCTGGTCTGATCCCCCCCCGTCATCCTGTTATCATGTGTACCAGGAGTGGGTTACAGGTGTGCAGAGCTTTGGAGCTCTTGGGCCCCAAGGCCAGGTTGCCTCTGTTTACCTTATTGACTGCAAGTGCTGTGATGAGACAAAGGTTGGAAGGTTACAAAGAACTGCTCCCAAGTGTTTTGTGTTTTTCCACCTCAGTATCTCTGCTCATGAGGGTTCCTTCAGTTCGAATGTCTTCATGAAAATTTTGTTTAGAAACTTTCAAAGCTCATCTCTAGCACCACCCCTTCCACGACCCATCTCCTCTCTCCCCTATTGCTTCAAGGCTCCCATAATTATTTGTACCTCTGCTCTAATAGTTCAAACATTTGGGGGTGCATCATGGTTCTTTGCTGAATATTTTCAGAAAATTATTTATTTTTTTTTCCCTTCTGTGTGTTTTTCCCACCTTTCTCCCCCATTCAAGCTGGCTCTGTACTCCATGGCTCAGGAAAGATAGAAAATAGGTCAAGAAAAGGAAAAGAGCTTGTAATACTTCCTGGATTTTGATTTCCAAAAGCCTAAGTCCTTAGGAAAACTTTGAAAGTTTCACAGAAAAGGTAAAAAGAAGGAGTTTCGCTGGTATAGACCAAATTTTTTGAGGAAGGGAGGCATTTCCACTCCACCACCCCAGACTAGAAAAAGAATGACAGACACCGCAGGTAGCCAAAGGGGAGGCAGAAAAGTCTATGTATCCTGAACCTCTAAGAACTGGGGTTTATTTCTTTTCTTTTCTTTTTTTTTTTTTTTTTTGAGAAGGAGTCTTGCTCTGTTGTCCAGGCTGGAGTGCAGTGGCATGATCTTGGCTCACTGCAAGCTCTGCCTCCCAGGTTCACGCCATTCTCCTGCCTCAGCCTCCTGAGTAGCTGGGACTACAGGTGCCCACCACCATGCCTGGCTAATTTTTTGTATTTTTAGCAGGGACGGGGTTTCACCGTGTTAGCCAGGATGGTCTCAATCTCCTGACCTCGTGATCTACCCGCCTCAGTCTCCCAAAGTGCTGGGATTATAGGCGTGAGCCACCGCGCCTGGCCAGATTAGGGCTTATTTCTTAATAGATCCTCCAGGGAGGCTGTGAGTCCCCATTGTGGTGCTGTGTAAGGTTCTGAAAACGTGACACATCCCTGAGGCGGTTGGTGGTGGAGTGACCCCAAGAGTGACTGAAAAAAATTTGTCCCAGCCCACTGAAAAGGGGCCGGAATCAGAGGCTAAGTTTAATAAAAATAAAAGCAAGGTCTGTCTCATATGCCTGAGTTTGGGAAACTCTGGGAAAGCAGGTGCAGAGGTATGCTTATATCTGCAAAGCAATCAATGCTAGGACCTAGACCTGGTGGATGCCTGGTAAGTACTGAATGGTACATGATAATTCTCCACATTGAACAAGTCAATGGCTCCAGAGCTTCCTCTGTAGGAGCCACTCTACAGCCCAGAGAGGTATAATTGGTCGGCCCATCCAGTATCAGCCTCTTCCTTGCATAGCCCAACCTTTTCTGCCCTCACCTGCTGTCTTCCTCTAAAGCAAACACAACAAAACCCCTCAAAGCCCAAGTCCTTGGAGAAGGAAAAAGGCAAGAGGGAAGATGCATGCAGTAGCAGCTTTCACCTGCTAGTTCACCGCAGAGCAGATAAACTAAGTTTTGTTCTATCTTCAGGTTCCAAAGCACCAGCATGCAATTTCTAATATTCTACTCCAAAGAAAAATGAGCATGTCCATATCATCGAAGACATCTGCAATCAACACTCACCCGGTCATCGAGGGTCTTGACTATGACTTTGTCATTTTCCCTACTCTGGATCATGCCTTTCACATACATTTCCTTATCATCCACTACAAAGCAGGCTTTCTTGGAATCGAATGGACGATTTTGAGCCTCGATTCTCTCCTTCTCTGGTTTCCGGAGGTAGGGAGCTGCTTCTCCAAAAATGGCCATTTCTGCATCAGAGCTCATGGCTGCAGAGGGCTGGGAAGACCAGGGGGACTGCTGAGTCTTGTGCTTGGGTGACTACTGAAGCTGCAGGGCCCCAACCCTTATTCCATTCAAACAGGCGGCCAGATTCAAAGGCTCCTGGATTGAACATAGGTCCTGAGGGATCTATGGCCAGGTCTAGGAGCTTCAAGTGTGCAAGCAGGAAGATATTTTATTCTAACAAAAAAGTATGAAGGTTGTTTTTTTTATCCTCTGAGTGTCGATTTTGGGAGTATTTTAGTTCAGTCCCATGTGTGCATCTCTGAATCAATTAGAGCCAAGGTGAACCCAATAAAAGAGGCTTCAGGAAGTACTTTCTTTTCTTTCTTTCTTTTTTTTTTTGAGACAGAGTTTTGCTCTTGTTGCCTGGACTGGAGTGCAATGGCTCCAGGTTGCAATCTTGGCTTTGCAACCTCCCCCTCCCAGGTTCAGGTGATTCTCCTGCCTCAGCCTCCCGAGTAGCTGGGAATACAGGTGCCTGCCACCACACCCAGCTAATTTTTATATTTTTAGTAGAGAGGGGATTTCACCATGTTGGCCAGGCTGGTCTTGAACTCCTGACCTCAGGCGATCTGCCCGCCTCGACCGCCCAAAGTGCTGGGATTACAGGCATGAGCCACTGCGTCCGGGCTAGGAAGCACTTTCTAAATCGCTCATCATGTTTGAGCCTGTGATCTCTGTGTCGTTCTAAAATCTTAAGAATATTTGAAAATCGTCATTGGAATGCTGATAATTCTTTTTTTTTTTTTTTTTTTTTTTTCTGAGGCGGAGTCTTGCTCTGTCACCCAGCCTGGAGTGCAGTGGCCGGATCTCAGCTCACTGCAAGCTCCGCCTCCCGGGTTTACGCCATTGTCCTGCCTCAGCCTCCCGAGTAGCTGGGACTACAGGCGCCCGCCACCTTGCCCGGCTAGTTTTTTGTATTTTTTTTAGTAGAGACGGGGTTTCACCAGGTTAGCCAGGATGGTCTTGATCTCCTGACCTCGTGATCCGCCCGTCTCGGCCTCCCAAAGTGCTGGGATTACAGGCTTGAGCCACCGCGCCCGGCCAGATAATTCTTATTAGACTTTTCGGTTAGCCCCGTGAAAAGTGAATGACTTGAACATGAAGATTTGTCACATTTATTTAAATAACAAGATGATGGGAGGCAAAATGGCCCAGGGCGATGATCCCAAACTTTAACATGCCAGAATCCCCTTGAGGGGTTGTTAAAGCACAGATTACGGGCCCCATCCCAATAGTTTCTGATTCAGCAAGTCTGAAGTGAAGCCTAAAAATGAGCTTTTCTAGCAAGTTCCCAGGTGATGCAGATACTGCTGATCCAGGGACCACACTGACGGTGGCTGGCATAGTGCCTTCCTGTTCTCAGAGTGGTGCTTGAAATGTAGCAGCTTCAGGCAGGACTTCATTAAGAAATTCAGAATCTCAGACCTACCCAAGACTCACGCACCTGACCTCAGGTGATCTGCCCACCTCGGCCTCCCAAAGTGCTGGAATTACAAGCGTGAGCCACTGTGCCTGGCCAACATAAATATTTTAATAAAAATTACCATATTTTCCAAAACAAACAAAAAAAATTAGTGAGAAGGATAATGTTGTTTTTCATTTTTTTTGCGAATCTCTTTACTGTCTCCTTAATGAAAGACTGTTGGATTCTCATATCTGCTTCTGTATTCATGCCATTGCTGTATGTTTGGTGAGAGTAAATATAAAATATTTAGCTATGTAATTCAGAAAAGGCAAGAGTATTTTAGTCACCTTTTCACATAATTGTGAATTTTCTTCTTACTCTACCAAAGCTTGACAAGTGGTAGTTTCTTAAAGGCTAGTTGCAATGTGGAATCTGAAGCCATATCAATAAACATTTCATACTTCATTACATTATAATCCACTAGTCTGTCTTGCATTTTGAGTGGATCTTCTTTTCCCATATGTGGGCTTCTTTTCCCATATGTGGACTTCCCATATGTGGTTGTTTGGAAACTACTGGTTCACTGAATTATATAGTATTTCCAAATGTGGACACATTTTCTTATGCAATATAAAAAAATTACAATCATTAATATCACCACCATGATATCATTTGAAAATTCTTTCAGTACTAGGAAGCTGTCAAGCTAATGGTGTCAAATACATGTTTTCTTGTTTATATTTGATACACGAGAATGATATAAATGATATAAATACATTCTCGTTTATATTTGAAGGCTCAACGTTGTGATTTATAACAAATGCTGTCAAGTTTTTCCTCAAGATGACAACTACATTGTCCCTTTTGGAGAACATGTTTGCCAAATACTCAAGTCTGAATAACCATAGCTTCTCTGCTAGTTGGTCTTTTAAATAAAAATGGTGCTTTGTGAATGAAGTGGCTACTTCAGCTTGCAACTCACACAAATGCACGTGTGCTTTTCCAGGAGACAACCATCAAACTTTGGTGGACTTCCCATTTCATCACATAAAATTATTAATGAAACTTTTTAGTGGAAGTGTATGGTAGTGAAGAATACAATAATTACTAATGCAGTTTGGTGTCGTGCCTTGATTTGTAATAAGGTAGCAGCCATTTATTCATCCTTGCTTTTGCATCACTCATGCAGTGAAAATGGCAAATAACAGCTGGGTATTATTGTGAAATTGTTTTAGCCTCACGTACCTCCTAAAAAGTTCTTGGGATTCTACAAGGACCCACAGACCACACTTTGAGAATGACTGCCCTATTGCATAAGGGAATCCTGACTGGTTACAGGTTTACAACCTTATAATATGTAGCTTGGCTTAGCGTTAAGCATGATACCCAAAAGTGTTGGAAGATGATTTACATCAAAACCATCTGTAACATAATCTCTGTGACTGGGACCAGGGAAACTAATTTTTTGATAAGGGCCTCAGAGAGATGTTTGGAAACCACTGGTTTAAAGCATTACTTTTATGAAACTATTCTGCTTTTCCAAAGCCAAAACCACGGCACAGTCTCATTGCTTGTACACAAAATAATTTTAGGCAAATATTTCTTAATTTAATATATGTATGCTTATTTTAAAGCCTATTACCTTATTTTATCAAAACATGCCATCAATGATAAGTTCCACAAATAAAGAAAAAAATGCAGCTAATTTAAACTGCAGTGCTCCTTTCTGTCGATTGTGATATGTATCCTCATTTCAGAAAGAAACTTGTAAAAAATGTACAGAAATCAGAATTGATAGAGATAGGGTAATATTTGCTTAATGTTTAGGAAGTGTGCTACATCCATGTATTCTATGATATAAATCAGTGTTTCTGAAACTTAAATGGGCATCTGAATCCTGCTGTGAATATTCGCTAGGTCTGGGGTTGGGTTTGAGCTTTTAAATAAATATCTTACAAATTTCTCAGCTAATGCTGATATAGCAAGAACATAGGTAACTTTAAAAACAAATAAGAAAAAATGAATCAATGTAAATAAAAATATTAAGCAAATTGACAGTATTGGTGTTAACATGGCTATTGCAAAACTTGCGATGGCAATAGAAGAATAAAGTCTGAAGTCAGGGAAAGGCTGCCATAACTGATAATTGAGCCATATTTTTAGTCCTCCTAGAAAAACAAGGTTTTTCCATCTGGGCCTCACGACAGTTTTCAAGTAGAGAGTTTTCTCCCTTCATTTACTCCAACCGTGACTCAGAACCCAGTATCTCCTAGTAGTATTACCTAGATGATGCTTGAGTTATCCCTCCATATTCCTGCAGTGGTGCATCTAACCTAGTTGAATACTTTTAGGCACAACTCTTTTGTCTTTGAGGCAGGTTTGATAGGCCAAAAATTCTTCTTGCTTTAAATTAAAATCTCGCTCTCCGTAATTTCAGGACAATAGTTTCTCATTCCACCCCTTGGTAACAGCAGAATGAGTTCAAACCTTCCTACGTGACAACTCTTCACCCTTTCGATGGCTGTTCTGTGTTCTGCTTAGCTTTATCTTCTCCATGCTAAATACCCTCAGCTTCCTTTGCTTCTTCTATGATGTGCTTCTGAATCCCTTACCATCTCGGTCACTCTTCCCTGAACCCACTCCTGTTAATCTCTTACAGTGTGATATCCAAACCACATGTCACCCTCCGCTGGAGTGTGCCCTCACCTCTCTTGACCTAGGTGTCATGCCTGAGGTGGTGATTGCCTGTTGGCAGCCATGTCTCACACTGCTGACACGCCACTCCCTTTCGAGCAAAGCCCCTCAATCCTCTCCGTGCACGCAGTTGCTAAGTCAGATCTTCTCCCTATATTTATGCAACTGGGAGTTGGGACCCAAGGGAAGACCATTCATTTTTGACTGATAAACTTCACCTTGTTAGATCTGATCCAAGTCTCTAGGCATGACTCATGCTGCCCACTGAGCACCACCCTCAAGAGTTTCCTTAATTAGCCTCTTCTCTTTTCCAAGAGCAGGACCTGCTTCCAGCGTTGCATAGCTGTGCCCCTTCAACCACCTCTGTTCCTGTCTTTAAGCGCCTTCTAACTGAGATGACCACCCCCGCCTGCCTAATCTCCATCACCCACTTCTGATGGTTCCTCTCTCTCTGTTTACCCTCTGTGTACCATGACACCGCTCTCAACTTTCATCCCTCTCCTGGGAATTTCACCGCTACTGTGTCTTGTCAGCAATGATGTGGTCATGAGTCAATGACACCTTGCCTTTTTTTGGTCCCAATTCATCTAGAATTACCTCTAATAAGCACACATTTTAAGGGGATAGGGTTTTTATTACCACACCGGGCATAGGATTGAACGGATCCCTCCCCATTCCTTCAGTATTACGCATGAGGGAAGGTGCAGCTGTGCGGATTCAGGGGTGCAGAGTCTGCTCAAGGAGTAGTCAAGTTAGCCTGTGTGCGAAAACTGCTGCATCTGGATCCTATGCACATCATGTTCTGGGCCAACTAAGTACTGTATATTGACTTGGAGCTTGTATGTCAAAATTCTGCATCATATTTTGTACATTTTGGTGTAATGAGCAAATACGAGATGCCATTCTTCCTTTGGTAAAACCTGTATATATTTTTAAATCTATGGTTAAGAATAGTTGTTATTGGTTTCAAATTCATCAATTTCATCTTCTCATGCGTGTAGCAAGAATGAGAACGTGTAAAACAATGT